GAGAGTTTCTTTGCAGTAATTACTGTGATTCAGCCACGGAGGGAAAATGTATTTAGCAGCGTGGCACAGAGACTCAGCTGGATCAGACAGCCAGGGAGAATTAGCCCCTGGAGCAGAGCAAAGCAGACACACACCACTCACAGTCACACACACTGCCCTTTTGTCCCACAGGAGGGGAATTAATGCCTGTCGATTCCATGTGATTGTAAATAATGAGACAGCGGAGGTTGAGATGGCACAGAGGAGGACGGACGGTCACAGGGGTCTCTTCATGCTGCTTTAAGCACGCTGCTGCATGGACAGAATGTCACAACCTTAAACCTTCAGCCTCTTTCTGTCCCTCTGATCCTGAGAGAAGTGGTCATGTTTCTGTCTCTGTCCCTGGTGATGCTGACGGCTGCCCACCGGCCCAGTCTACCTTACCCACGGTGCATTATGGTGATGTGATTTTTGCCTTGAGGGCAGCAGGACCGCAGGGGTCAGATGGAGATTGGATTAGATACAATCTCCACTGAGGTAGTGTGACACTGAATACAACTGGCATCAGACTGGCTCACACTAGCCCCAGCAGGGTTGGCTCCATTGGGGATACTGCCATCTCGGATGGGCCATGTTTTTCTTGATAGAGTGTCAGAGGAGAATGCGTCCCTGTGTCCGATGCCTGTCTAAAAGTGTATACCTTGACAGAGCGTAATTATAGGGGAAGACCATTAGGTATAATGGGCTATGGCATCCACCTCCTCACCTTCCTGCATTCATTTAAACAGCCAAATATTGGTGGCCCCTCCCTTCCACCACAACATAGACCATCCCTCTGGCATCCTGAATAATACATGTATTACTGTATGACTATAGATATAAATTCTATGTAAAGCAAAGCCAGTTCAGAAAGGGAACCCGAGTGCCCGCCTTTGCTGACGCATCAGCTAAGATTGCACCAATTAGATGCTAGTAACAATCACCCCTACCTTATTTGGCGATCCATTTAAGCTGACCGGTTCTGCTCACACATCTTGCTACCGCTTGCTGCTACTGCTAGTATGCATTTGCTTATTTTGCTCCCACCACCACCCCAGCCTCCACCTGTTAGGTTTTGTTTTCCTGCTGGGGGATTGGTATATTTTACCACACTCACTACTTTTAGGTAATTGTATATATTGACGCTTTGCTTGGGCAGTGAGCTACCCTGAAGGAGCAGAGCCTATATCGCCAAGATATTATTTAATAAATGGTTAAACATATTTCTAGTTGGTGTTTCCTTTCTGAAGTGTAGTTTTATGTGACTTGCCTGTGTCACACAAAGCAATTTGGATGCAATTTCTGTTGCAGGTGCAAGTTGCAATTGAGATTATCTCTAGCAACTGCGATATACAAAGCAATTCAAACACAATTGAAATTGCATGCAACATCCAACCCTGTCATACATCACATCATGGTTTCATTAATGATTTGTTTATCCAAACATTTGGTAATTGTAACAGCAGCGATGTAGACAAAATGCTGGCTGTACAATTTATCTAGCTATCCAAAATGTTGCCTATTTGCCAACCATGTTTTTCCAAGCTAGCTAACCAAGCTAGCGATGAGCTAAGCTAGCTAGCTAGTGCAGTTCATGTTGGAACATTATGTTGAAACTGGACAGAGAAAGGTCTGGGTTCACTTTTTAAATTACATTTATTGAGTGCCAGATGATTGGACATTGCATACAGTCGGTTGTTATATCAGTTATTAATGTTATAATTAGTATAACTTACTCAATATGATTAGGTAATGACACTGGCAGTCATGAGTCATGACCGCAGTCAAATTCCACGTGACCGCTGTGTCACGGTAATCTCTTCTAATGCACTCTGCACATTTGTTGGTAGTATACAACTCGCTAACAACCGTTAGGTCGCTAATGCCTTGGTACTCACCACTCTATTGTCCCTATAACCACTCTGACATCAATGCAAATGCAATAGAAAATCATATCAAACACTTATCATCAAAACAGTATTATCCTTTTAAAACTCACCTCACTGTGATGATAATTTTGAAGAAAGAAGATGAACAACAGGTTGAAAATGAGTGGAAAACATGGTTGTTGGATGTTGTTTCAAAGCCAATCACAATGAAATGAAATGAAAAGCGCTTTCTAAGGTGATGATTAATTCAAAACACCCATACACACATTAGAGCTTATGCATATGCATAGGCCTATATATGAGCCCAAGTCCGAAAAAAATGCGGAATTAAAATAATGATTGTGTCTTTATACAATAGGCTACATTTAAGTGATAATACTTGAGAAGCTGATGTTTGGAAGATATATTGGCACAATATATCCTCCAAACACCGGCTTCGAGGGCATTATCACTTTCATACAACGGGTTACCAACGTTCTTATCCCTTGTTTGCTAGCTAGCCAACAATGGCTAACATACAGTCATGTCAAAAAGCAGCCAGAATAACAGCAAAGTAGCTGCATTTGCATTTGTTTAAGCTGTTTTCTAGTGACATTTATTTGGATACATCCTTAACAATGAATTAATTATGCACGATTTCACCTGGCATAGAAAATGTCCTCTCTCGTTAGGACACTGTTGTTCAGAGGAGCTTACAACACAACTAACACAGTCACATCAAACTGAAGCTGGAAAGACAGCAAACTAGCTGCACTTCGTTTAGTTTTACCTGTTTTCTATTGATAGTTCTTTGTATATATCCATAAAAATGATGCTGATTCATGATTTCGACTGGCTGAGAAAAGCTGCCTGCCTGTCTGTCTCGTCCCGACTCCCGACACGTTCATTACTATGGGACAACTGGAGATCGAATTTGAAAATTTATTTGTTGCAAACATCGGAGAGACAGACAGCAAGGTTTATACAAATATCCACTGTTGAAAACTAAATGTTAGTCTAAAAGAAATGTGAGATAATGTCTAGATACTTTTTATAGTGGAGATCAAGTTTATAAATGGCCTGGCTGGGCTGATGAGACAGTGGATAGCTCAGTCAGATGGAACAGTGTAATTAGGAATTTTAACGTCATAGATTTAGCCAGTGGTAACTTGTGGAATAGACACCGGCTGGAATGCGCTTTTAACCAATCAGCATTCAGGATTAGACCCACCCGTTGTATTAACCCTAATAGCCTACCGCATATTAAGCATGGCAGAAAACCATTAAACGATGCTGTTGGTTCATTGATTGTGCAGGGCAGCTTACAGAGTTAGCCAACAATTTGTATTTGATTTTGAATAGCCTGGTAATAGGGCATTTTTTATATTTTCATAATTAATAGGCTGACACATTACCTTTTTAGCTACAGAATATCTCACCACCATGCGTTTCCATCTCCTGTTCTCTCTCCTTCATTCCTTTTTCAAGCGAGCAGAGAGAGGGGTTCTCAACAGTTTAATAAAATATGTTTCGTTGTGAAAACATGTTGCTATCGATGTTCCCAAACAGATTTAACTTGGTTTGGCTGCAGGAACAGGGTTGGAGAGCCCATGGTATACAGAGTTTGGGTGGAATATCACCTGTCGCGCAGGGAGAGGCTGCATGCTCCTCAAACAGTGGTTGATGCATGGAGTGAAAAATAAGTGTTCTTATAAACACAGACATTTCCATATGCAATCCCTTGTGAAAGCAGAGTTTTGATGGTTGCCACCAAAAAGAGGGTGTTCCCAGCTGCTACTACATTTATTTCTCAGCTGCTAATATTTATCACAGCTCGGCATGATTGAAAAACGAATGGGAAATCAGCCTCCATTCGCTATTTGAGTGCATAAGGATTACATTTATTTTTCCCCTACGCCTGTTCCTGCCCATTTCATAATGGGTCATTCTAAATTGAAACAAATGTTACATATTAGTAAAGACAAGATTCAATTGAGAATAGTCTGATGGGTGAAAATATGATCATTTGATGAGTGAACAGCGTGTGGGGCCTGAGGCAAGGAACAGAGCGCAAGCTTTTTGTGTGACTTTCTCACATCATCAATAGCCTGGAGTCACATCATGCAGCCCATAAATGTTTTGATTTCTAAGACATTCTACGGTTTGTATCATTCACAAATTATCACTTTTACACTCAACATAGCAACTTCATATGCACACTCGCTCCGGAATGGGAAAAATATCCTTTCTATTTGATTCAGCTAACTTCAACTGTATTCTTCTTACTATGAAATAATATAATGACAAATATTTATTGTGATGGTGTATATTAAATTGATTTATTTGACTTTTTGAAATGTAGATGTTCCAAAGGTGCGCATCAGGGGCTTTAATGCGTGGAGGCCTAGAGATGCTAAATGTGTTTATGTTAATTAACGGTCAATTACCGTGAGACCGGCAGTCATTTGTATTTCAAGCTGACAAAATGTCATGACGCCACAGCCCTAGTAATGGCCACTACCATTACTCTTTAGTGAGGATTTCTCACAGTTTAATTCTACATGCTCACAATCAACTCTATTGAAATTGCCAGAGGCTCCCAGAGCTAATAATATTCAGTCCACAATCTTGCATGCGGCTATATTAATTACAGGACTTTCTCTGTGATTGTATCATCTCAACTGCTGAAGCGCTGCTTGCCTAAATAGAAGATGATTACCTGAATGAGAGATTTCTTAAATAAAGTGAATGTCTTTGATGACAAGGTGGTTTTTAGCAGCCAGTCACCACAGGAAGCAGAACGTTGGTGGGGTTCTGCAGCACTGTTTCTCTGTGACAGCCTCTGTGTTTGCTGTATATGGCTCTGGAGGCTAGGGAATAACGGCTACCACCAAAGAGCTGAATCACATTAACCTATGGCATTTTGAAATGTCATTTTGTTATGTCATGCCTTGCCATCGCTGCTGCCTGAGAAATACCCAGTTGGTACTGGCACCATCTTGCATACTGTTTGGCAAACTCTCTTTTTGTATCATGCAGGCCGCTTTGCTTAAGTTTTGGTACAACTAAGAATTAAACTATAATTTATTTATTTTAGGTTAAGGAGAGGTTGCTATGCCAACAGAGCCTGGTCCTGAGTCAGAGGTGAAGAACGCAGCAGAAGTGTCCTCCCAGCAGAAGGGGGAAGCAGCAGGCATGCAGGACTCTGCATCAGACGGCAAGATGGCCAAACAGGTACGTAGGAAAGCACAGGAAGTTCAATGTGCACCATAATTAGGTCCTTGTGTTTTTACTGGTGAGATCACATGTTATCTCGTCCTACATCAACAGACATTTACACACATTCAGTGATGTCATAATTATAATGGACATCATTCATTTACTGTAAATTTCACCTGTGACTATGTAACGTCCCTATGTAAAGGACCAGGACTCCAAACTGATCGACGACCACAGGGAAACAGATGACGTGTCAGAGAAGATCACCCCATGCAAGACCCCCAAGTCCCCCCAGAAGACTTCCAAACGGCCAAAGACTGTTCCCTTCAAGGTCACCCTACTGGACACCTCTGGCTATGAGGCGGGGATTGAGGTAAGGAATCTCCCCCCAGAGCAGTGCCCTGTTTTACAATTGCAGGCCACATTTCCAAGTCCTGAGGGGGTTTGAATGAACCATTCAAAGTATTAATAACAGCAAGAAATATTGTTGTAATTGTATTATTTTTGTTTGTGTGGCTTTACCAGCAGATGCGACTAGTTTCTTTACTTTCGAACGTCATGTCTTTGTTGTTTTTATGTTATGGAGCTGCAGAGTGCAGATAAGGCCGGTATAAAGCAGATGACAGAGAGGGTGTCATGCTGGGAGCTCTCCATGGGGCAAGGCCAATGCAAGGTTACACATTCTCTGCCACAGAGACACATTCAATCATTAGGATGAGTGACACAGAGAAAATAGTGAAGGAAAAGCAGGCTCACTCGCTTACAATGGCTGTTATTACAGCTCCATCCCCAAACAAGACACGTCTTCATACTGGTAGAGAATGCTCAGTGTATTCAGGCTGAAAATGGGGCAAGAGAAGCACCCTTTGTTGAAGGAGTGATGTGTGAACTCTTAGAGATGTTGAAACTTTCTGATGGTAGCTGGTCCAGAGCAATGCATATGGCTCTATTTTCCTTCCCTGCAAACGTATTCTGCACAATATGGTCGTTAGAGTGGGAGTCCTGACCCATTACATGAAAGTACACTTCAATTCTGAGTGCTTTTCACACCATGTTTCAGGGGCTGTTTTGTGATACATAACGTAAGTGTCTGCCTGCCTGTATGTCTGTCTGTCCCTCTATGTATGGGATGGCAGATGTAATCAGTCAGTCTCCTCTCCCTGGCTAATCTGTGCTAGCCTAGCTTTTAGCAATGCGGGTGTATTTACATACACTAGCGTTGCTTTCAATTGTATTTGATTGCACAAAAACAGTCTGGGAGAAGCCAGAAGTTAAAGACAATTCCATTTCAGCTTACTGTGCCGGTGGGCAGGACGGTTGGTCATTTCATGTGTGTGTTTGTGTGTGTCTCTGATGCAGTGGCGGCTCCTGAAAAAATTCTCAGGGGGGGCAATTTTTCTGATGATTTAGGTGACCTACACACATTTTAAAAAAGATATGTCCAGCAACAACATGAAGACAGGGGCAGCATATAAGTCAATACTGATATACACATTACTTGCTTCAAAAAGGCCTCATGGTTGAATTGGAAATATGTGCACCTGAGCATAATTCACAACAAGCAAGCAGGAGCTTTTGATAGAGGCTACTGAAAACATTGATGCAAGTTATTGGTAATAAGACATTTTTATAGACTTCCATATTCTGCCCTCTTGTATAGATTTGTGAAAATGAACAGTGATAGACATTTTGCCTGAAAACAGAATTTGAAAATAATTTCTAGAAAAGGTAAACACAGCTATCTGTATGGCTTTGTAAAAATGAACAACCATATTCTGGCCAATTGTATAGATTTGTAAATATGATGATGTCTCCTTTCATGCATACATTTTCAAATAAAGCTCTGCTTTGAGAAAGATCGAATGATATTGTTTAATCTTACCTTATGGCCTGCACACTGCTTGTGAAGCTGTCGAGGGCACGTTTGATGAAGACAGCATCGATGTCCTTCTTCTGTAGCTTCTGGTACAGAATGTCGACGTGGGGCATGATTTTGTGAAAAAGCCCCAGGAAAAAAATAAAATCTTCTTGCTATCTATGTACCTCAGCACAAGCACCAGCTGTGTCTGTGTAGAAACGTCCGTGGTCTCGTCAGCTTGGATAGCTACGAAGTTCGCCGACTTCACCTCCTCCACAATATGTTCCCTCATGACCGCTAGCATACACTCCAGTAGCTCGTTTTGAATGGTCTTTGATGTGCCCTTGAAAACTTTAGCATTTTTAAGATGGTCATCAAACACCTCATCTAATTGTGCCACAAAGTTGACAAGTCCAAGAAAAATAGCAGGGTTGGTGGAGCCCTCAGTTTCATCTTTGCCTCGCAAAGCTAACTCAAACACTCCGCAAAACTTCACACACTGGATTAGCCGGCTGAGGATGTGGCGGTTCTTGCTAACCTCATCGTTGTGGCGGCGGACAGCTAGCCTGTATCCCTCATCCAGTTGAGTGGCAATGTTCACTCTCCCCAAAGCAGACAATCTCAAACAGCTATCCATGTGGGTCTTTGACAGCTCATGTTTCTTAATCTTTTCTGAAAGATGGTGCATGTCCGTTACACCAGTCGCTGTCCAAGCGGTGCTGTCTGCCGTGCCGCCTTCAGGGTGAAAGAGTAAGCAGGGGTAGCAGAAGACTGCATTAGCTACATCGCAGCCTGCTAGCCAGGTTTTTCGTTCGTACCAATTTTTGGAAAATCCTCGGGTGTAGGACTTTCCCCCTTTAGTAGAAACCTGTTGAATTATTAAATTTGGTCTGGGAGGTCCTAATTGTTTCGTTGCCAATTTATCTTGATTTGTTCGCCGACAAAAATGAACTTCTTTCAAAGAGACAATCGAGTTGCACTGAACGCTAGCCATCTTCACAGTAGTACGTGAATTGATTGACGCTGCTACCCGCTCTTTTCTTAGTTATGTTCATGGTTATGTTACGTATGACGAAAGCGCGTAAGTGCAAGCCCTCCCGGAACCCATAGAGATTGTATTGAAAGCTCTGATATTTGAAAAAAAAAAGATTTTACATGAGAGTCTGAGAGACTTCTGGGGTGATTTTCAACCTGACTGAAATCGCCCCAAAACGGGCGGGGCCATTTGAAGCACGACTTTAGCCTGATTGGACATTTAGTGGCAGATCAGACGTCTAGATTAGAACACTGAAAACTACTGTTGCCGTGATATAATTGATTAGAAAAAAAATCCCTTCCTTTTCCCGTTTGGCAGTGCGTCGCCCATATCGCCCTAATGAACACACCGCCCCTGCTCTGATGTAAGAATCTCAAAAGCATTGGCCTCGCTTTCACCAACCTTTCTCAAAAGAAAACATTGCAAAAATAGTCATACAAATACTCTCAAGCCACTCTCAAACCTTTTGTTGCTCTCAACACTGGAAATAAAACTCCACATTATGATTACCAAAGCCTTTATGCAATGAAGTGTATTTTGCTTCCCGTTGAACTTCCATTCATTGCTACAGAATGATGTACAAATCGACCCTCCATTTTACTCATCCTATTGACATAACAAGCTGCTGCAGTATAGTGTTTATCCAAACCCCTTACCTCACTCCCGAACTGCCTCCGACCCCCTTCCTGTGTTTAATTGGTGGGTTGGAATGTCAAGCCAGTCTTATCAAACCTCCTCCATGCTCCAGGAGTTAATAATAATAGTGTTAAGGAAAGGCAGGGACCACTTTGTGACAACTCTCACTGGAGGAGGTGCCCTATCCAAGGGTTAATTAGCCCATCTTGTCATGACTGCTTGGCTCTGGCTCCCCAGGGGCTGCAGGGGGAGAGGGGGCCGCACCCTCCCATACTTCCCTCACCCCTTCCTTCAGCTCACTAGTGCATACTCTACCAGGCCATGCATGAGTGAGCTGCACTGTGTTATTGTGCAGAATGGTGCTATTTTTGGCGCCATATGTTTTTTAGAATACTCTGTGACTCTGACAATGATTTTGTTTCTACTCTTTGCCAATATTTAAGTGTGTTACTTTCTCCTGTGTTTCTTTTGGGGGAAAACGCTTGTGATTTGTTGTGAAAGTTCTCAGTGGAGTTGAAATAATTGCACTGTGAAAGGGAGTGTCCATGGAGAAACGCCTCAGTGCCTTAGTCACCGCATATTAAGATCCTAAACCAGAATGTATCTTTATAATAGCTCATCGTTATGCCATACTGTCCACTCCATACAGACCCTAAAACCACATCCATGTCTTCTCTCTACAATCTTGCCATGGGGACTGTGTTGAATGAGATGGTGAGAGTTCATAAGTGTCTCCAGAGTGTTATCCCACCATCTTTTCAACCATAATGAGCCAAAAGAGACACACTCCCAGGAAAAGTAGCTGCTGCCTTGGCAACAGCTAATGGGGATCCTAATAAAATACTAAATACTAAAACTCCTCCCATCTCTGGCCTTGAGATATTAAGGAACAAATACGAGAGGGAGGGAGCACACATCTGCACCTGTTTCCCTGGCAACGGCTTGCTCTGTCTCCCTGTCACCGCGGAAACCAGGCTCCAGGGAAAGCGCTGAGCCGTACAGATGCTCGCTACCCGGAGAGCACCACGCACAGCTCACTAGCTACGTCCTCCAGGGAAAAGTGTGTGTGTGTGTGTGTGTGTGTGTGTGTGTGCAGCAGCACACTCCACCCATAGTCTGGACTCTGGGATTGATAGGCCGGGGTACCGTGTTACTCTGATGGAGTCGGAGTGATGTTTTTTACGTGTGAATGTCTTCTTGAATTTACACAATAGTTTCTTCCCCTCTATTTGTTCAAGTTACATCAAGGTACTGTATATCATCGCTAGAATGATTTGCTAAAGTGCCGTCCCATCAGTCGTATCTCTCCTTTGGACATCTGAGTAACTTGACAACTAACTTTGCACACTTCTTCTGTCTGTCCTTCACAGGAATGTGACAAGAAGATGAACCATTTGGTTTTGGATAGTGTTGAGTGGCATTGGATATTGCACTGTTTATTCGGACCGCTTATCATGCAGAAAGCAATCTTCCTACAATTCAGTGTTCATTTTCCCTGTCAAGTATTTGATCAATTCTGACTGTAACACAGCACTGAAGGACAGAGCTGTTCTAGCCTGTAGACAGCAACAGATAGGGAAGCCATCTTGACACCAGCTGTTATCTGGTTGGGGATGATGTTGGGGAGAGAGACACATTCTGTTGTGTTGATTGATACATGTGCAGTTACATGACACTCTAATACACTTCCAAGAATACAAAACCATGCAGTGCCATAATGCTTTAATCAGTGAGGCCAGGTCACATGGTCAGAAATCTCCTGATCCTTGATTGACCGTTGATTTGAATGACACTTTATTTGTGACACGTGTGTCTGTGTGTTTCTGCAGAAGCACTGCAAAGGACAGGCCCTGCTGGACAAGGTGTGTGAGCACCTCAACCTCCTGGAGAAGGACTACTTTGGCCTGACATTCATCGAGGCAGACAGCCAAAAGGTCAGTGCCTTGTCATGTAGCCTCTGTGACCACTAATTTACCCCCCACCCCCCTCTCCCCCTCTCTCCCCTTCCCCCTTCTTCTACTCATTAAATACTGTCTTCAGAACAATCACCATTCCTCTCACCATAACAACAGAAGACACAGCAGGCTCTGGCAGTAGTGAGTCACTCTATTAGGAATTGGAAATGAAAATGTGCATGCTCAGTCAGATTCAGATCAACAAGCAATTTATAAAATTGAAGTTAACATGGTACCCTAAATGCCTTAGAACACATTTGAACACTTCATCATAGCCTACATTAGAAAGGCTGATTAGTGCTCCACTCATGTCTGTTCTGTTGACCCTCCAAACGGCACTAGGAAGGGTAATTGGAGTGGAATGGGTGTAATTATGGTTATTAAGCAACTGGTTAAGATTTAGCTCTGAGACCAAATTGAATGGTCATGACAGTCAGCCTGTATTAACTGGTATTAAGGTTGTTTTGAGGATGTGTGTGTTTTGGGTGTATCCTGCCTCTGTACACCTCACCTTCAGGGCAGGTATGTAATGGCCCATTGCGGTGAGTGTGTAAAGATTTGGCATGTTGAAAGAGAACGGCCACTAAGGTGAGACAAACACACCTGTCACTAGTAACAGCTTGTATAGGTCTCAGTAGTTACAGAATTACATGTTGTGACCTGATTTGTCACAAGGGGTTGAGATTTTGGAGCCAGTTCTGTCTGGAGAAGAGAAAGAAGTATGTGTGTGTGTGTGTGTGTGTGTGTGTGTGAGAGAGAGGGGCAAACACAGTAAATGCTGGCCCCCTCTTCAATACCAGGCTTATCTGAGGGCAGCTTTTACTGTCTGGGGTCCTCGGTGACTCTAAGCCAAACAAGACATGATTGAAATGTCCTCTTCAAACTCCTCTCTGCCTCTGTTTGAGGATATTATCCCCACACCATTTGGGGAGAACATCTATTGTGTTTATGATTGGTTGTGAACTATGACTGCAGTGCGTCCTGGCAGCAGAACAGTTGTTATTCCTGCTGGACTGCTCTACATAGAGGAGACAAAGGAGTAGTGCCTTTTAGTAATTGAGTGATCTTTGGCCCAGGCCGACATCAGAGAGATTCAGGAGGATAATAAATGACTGCTGTTGATTATGGTGCTTAGCACGCTGATTAAGCACCAGAGGACCTCACTCGGGTTGTGTGTGAGTGAGAGCTTGTTAGTGTTTGTGTGGGTGGAGTTCAGTTTGTTACATGCAAACCTCATCAGCCAAGTTGCGTGCGTGAGCATTGCAAAATACATTTACACATATATCTTATTCAATAATTTCACCCACACGAAGTGCTAAAATAGAATTTGGTTCTATTTGATACATGCCACACGCTGCAAGTCCCCTCCTTATTGGATATCAGGAAGATACAAACCCCATGGATGCTTGAAAGACAAACGAGGAGAGATTCATTAAAGATCACTAACAAAAAATTAACTAGGTTTCCCTTTTTATGTGTGGATTAATTGTCGGAGGAGAGGAACACGATTTTGTATGACTCTACAAAGAACCAGCTAAAAAGAGGCCAATTTGCATGACAGGTAAAATAACAACCCAATGTTTATCTCCCAGGACAAACCATGCCCCCAGTGTCAGGTCTGGAGCGTGAAGTCACGAGTTCTGCTGGTTGGCTACTGCGTAGCAACCTAGAGGTGCCAAAAGCCCTGGTCTGCCCTAGAAAGCCTATGTAAATTACAATCGCCAGAATGGCCAAGCAATGTTTTTTTAGACGCCCGTTTTGGCCTCTAAAATGTGTTTATTATGATTAAGTTCGATCCTCACAGTTAATCATTTTAAAGTTATCTACAAATCGAAATATTTAATAAAATAGTAATCCATTCTGACTACTACATTTGTCGTCACACAGGACCACTTGCTGACACTGACCAATCACGGGCTGGCAGGCTACGAGGAGGCTCGCACCCTCATGCAAGCTCTTTGCATGCTCTTTGCATGTGCACCCAGCAGCGTTGGGTTGACTCTCTCTGGCAGGATGAAAACGACTACATTGACCATGATCCTTTGCGAATTTTGGTGCCATTCGGTAATATGGCGTGCTTCAAATTCAAATAACTGCGCCATCGTCGTCAGCGGTATCACTCTCTACTAGCTAAATGTCCATGAATGTTTCATGTGTGTTTCGACCTGCCCCCAAATGATTAAAGTTGTTTCACAGTTGGTTTGATATTTTAAACTGAGTGTCTGGTGGGGATAGACAAAATCAACATGCGTGTGTTGCCGGTGTAGTCAGCATGTTAGTGTGCATTTGTGCAGGTCTGCCAGTTTTGACTAGTAGCAGGTTAGGAGAATTAACGTGGCAGGTTAGGAGAATTATGTTAATGTTCGGAAAAAGGTTAGTGTTAGCTAAAATGCAAAAATTGTCCCCGAAAGAATATTAACATATCTAGCTACAACCAGGCCTGACCTGAGAACAGACTTGGTTTCCACTAATGCGATGCAGCTAAATTGGCAGGAACACTTATGGTTTCCAAAGATAGAGTTGGAGACTGCTGTGCTGTTTCAACCTTTTCCACTCCTGGTTTCACAGTGATAGTGGCTGCCAGAAAGACTTTCACAATTACTCAGCAGCTGAGATGAGCCACTCAGGCTCAGAAAGCTGGGAAGCTCACTGTCAGTGGTCAGGCACACTGCTTCCTGCGTTATTATCCATGCAATAGGCGTATTCACACTTCCTGTTCAACTAAGAGCACATGAGCATGGTGTGATTGCCAAAGAGTAGGCCATGACCTGAGCGATTTCATAAGGGACATGAGGGTGTGCATTGAATGAGAAAGCTTTATCAACACAAGGCAGGAGGGAGAGTAGCTGTACAAAACCACGCCTCTTGTGGTGAATGATGTCAATGTACATATCTGATGTGATACGAGCTAGGATAACTGGCCGGTGGTAATTTACTGTCAAAATGGGCTAACAGATGCTGGGACTGACACTCATTTCCTCATGCTGAAAGTCTCAGTGGGGAGGTTCCTCCTGCTTCCTCCCTCTCCTCCTCCTTCCATTGAACCATATGTACAGTAAAGGCTTTCACTAGAAACACCATCTGCAATTAGAGCTGTGGAGTGAATCAGAGTGTGGCAACAGGTTGTGCATTAGCCACGTCTCTCACAGACGCCTGTGAATCCTCTCTCTCCTGTCTGTCTTTCAGAATTGGTTGGACCCCTCCAAGGAGATCAAGAAGCAGATGCGCAGTGAGTATACTTGGCCCACAAGCAGTACGCAGCACATTGCACCCACACCATAGACAGAAAACACATTTATTATTCAAATACTGTTTGTTTGTACATGGAATCTGCTAAGTACTTATGCAGTAGAATGAGAAGCTGTAGTTCCATTAAGACAATATAATGAGTTTATGTTTAAAATAAGCATGTTTCTATGCTGTTGTTGGAGCCTGTTGCCATAAATAAATGTTCTCGGACACTTTTGTTGTGACACATGTTATGGTGATTTGGCTATGCCATACATGTGTCACACACATCACCTCTGTGATAGATGTCCAGTCCACATGGGCAGTAACCTCATCACCTCTCCTCTGTCTGTCCTCAGCTGCTCCCTGGCACTTTGCCTTCTCTGTCAAGTTCTACCCTCCAGACCCCTCCCAGCTCACAGAGGACATCACCAGGTACTGTGGTCCAGCAGGGCAGTGTGAAGAGGCCCCCATATCATTCTCACACTGTATATTTTATTAGATACACCACTCCGTTCACGAAAATGGTTCGCTCCTACAGATAGTGAGTCACATGGCCTTGGCTTGCTATATAAAGCAGGCAGACAAGCATCGAGGCATTCAGTTACTGTTCGATTGAATGTTAGAATGGGCAAAACGAGTGACCTAAACGACTTTGAGCGTGGTATGATCGTCGGTGCCAGGCACGGCGGTTCCAGTATCTCAGAAACGGCCAGCCTCCTGGGCTTTTCATGCACACCAGTGTCTAGGTTTTACAGAGAATGGTGCGACAGACAAAAAACATCCAGTCAGCGGCAGTCCTGACCATAACGACAGTAATATCAGAATATCACATTGACACTTTAGCAGTCAATTAAAGTACTCACAATCTTTCAGATTTTACTGAATATAGTCCTTTAGCCAAGCCGGTTCTTCTGACTCTGACTATCCCTTTGAATAGTCTGTTGTAAGTGCAAGGGCACTTGGGGATGAGCAGCACCGTTTAATAGTGTGGCCTGCTCAGGACACAGTGAGAGATGCAACGCATTCCATGTCTTTCCGTCATCAAGGAAAAATGTGTTTGGTCCTTTCATTTGGATAACTTTGCGTGGCACACTGTAATTTTGTGCACCCTTTTTGACATGAAAGGGAAGTTTTATGCACACATGATCTCCCTCTTTGATGACTGATCGCCCCCCGTTTGGCGTTCGTGTAGGATTTAACTTTTTCTTATGTGGCATGCCCTCTGGTACGCACGGCATCGTCGGAGATGGAGGGACTCTGTAGCGGGAGAAAGTTCAGTTTTGTGTGCAGCGTTCCGTTGTTCAATAGTAACCAAGGCGTGTGGCATGAGCTGTCAACCTGTAGTGCATGAGGAAAAGTTGAACATATGGTTTCCAAGGCCTTCCCTCTCGGATCGCCGTTTGAACCCAGTATTTTAGAACTGTTTTTGCCATGGGCCTTCAGGAAGGCTAACAGGCTGGAGAGGCGCGACGTGCGTCTTTGCAGTTTTGTCATTTGTCCTGACATAGTTGACATGTTCTCCTGAGTGGCGCAGTGGTCTAAGGCAAAAAGGTCTAAGGCACTGCATCGCAGTGCTAACTGTGCCACTAGATCCTGGTTTGAATCCAGGCTCTGTCGCAGCCGGCCGCGACCGGGAGACTCATGGGCGGTGCACAATTGGCCCAGCGTCGTCCAGGGTAAGGGAGGGAATGGCCGGCAGGGATGTAGCTCAGTTGATAGAGCATGGCGTTTGCAACGCCAGGGTTGTGGGTTCGATTCCCACGGGGGGCCAGTATAAAAAATATGTATTCACTAACTGTAAGTCGCTCTGGATAAGAGTGTCTGCTAAATGACTAAAATGTAAATGTAATGTTGATTTTGTATGGACGTGTCCATTCCAGGTCACCAGTAGAGCTCACGTAGCCATTGTTTTGTTCAGACAACTCCCTGGTGGCTGTCATGAGGGAGTGAAACCAGTCTGTGACGCAGGGAAATGGGCACTAGCAGGCGGTTTCGACCATGGTACACTAAACAGTCTTGTACAGAGAGTTCATCCCGAATGGGAAAGTAAGGTACGGGGTCTGGGAGAAAAAAATAAGATAAAGATACCTTAATAGAAAATTACTCAAGTGAAAATGAAAGTCACCCAGTAAAATACTACTTGAGTAAAAGTCTAAAAGTATTTGGTTTTAAATATACTTAGGTATCAAAAGTAAATGTAATTGCTAAAACATACTTAAGTATCAAAAGTTAAAGTTAAAGTATAAATCATTTCAAATTCCTTATATTAAGAAAACCAGATGGCACTATTCATATTTTTTTATTTATTTACGGATTGCCAGGGGCACACTCCATCACTCAGACATAATTTACAAACGAAGCATTTGTGTTTAGTGAGTCCGCCAGATCAGAGACAGTAGGGATGACTAGGGATGTTCTCTTGATAAGTGTGTGAATTGGACAATTTTCTTGTCCTGCTAAGCAATCAAAATGTAACAAGTACTTTTGGGTGTAAAAAGTAGATTATTTAAGTTTTATGGAGTAAAAGCAGATTATTTTCATTAGGAATGTAGTAAAAGTAAAAGTAGTCAAAAATATAAATAGTAAAGTAAAGTACAGTACAGATACCCCAAAAAACGACTTAAGTAGTACTTAAAGTATTTTTACTTAAGTACTTTACACCACTGCCAATATGGTAGTAAAGGCCTGATGATCAGTTCATAGGGTAAAACATGTACCCCACAGGAACGTTCGCCACCGCTCAACTGACCACACACAGGCAAGCCCATCCTTTTCTACTATAGAATATTTGCGCTCGGCTGAGGAGAGGGAATTGGATGCAAATGCCACTGTGCATTCTGTTCCATCTGGATGTATTTCATTTTACATTTTAGTCATTTAGCAGATGCTCTTATCCAGAGAGACTTACAGTTAGTGAGTGCATACATTTTTTCATACTGGTCCCCCGTGGGAAACGAACCCACAACCCTGGCGTTGCAAGCGCCATGCTCTACCAACTGAGCTACACGGGACATTTGCGTAAGAAACCCACCGGGAGGCATCGATTGTCTCATTCACCAGGTCAGCATAGACCGCTTTTTTAACAGACAGTGGTAGTCGATGTAGTTTTTGTTGCACAGGAGTAACGTCATCTTTGACTTTCACGTGGTGAATAAACCCTTTTGCACACCCTAGTTTCTGCGCGCTGGGAGTTGCGAGGTGCTGTACCTTAACAGGTGTAGAAGAGGACCGCACAGCACAGTATTACCAGCGATATGCAGATTCAAGGCCGTAACTAAGTCCATGCCTAGCAAAGGCGTTCCCTTTTCCACGATGAAGAAGGAGGCTATAGTAGTAACTGTATCATGCTGGACGTCAGCGGAGAGGCACCCTAACACAGTCTTGTTTAGAGTAGGTAACCAATTTCACATCAAATCAAAATAAAATAAAATACATTTGTATTTGCCACATGCGCCGAATACAACAGGTGTAGACCTTACAGTGAAATGCTTACTTACAAGCCCTTAACCAACAATGCAGTTTTAAGAAAAATAAGTGTTAAGTAAAAAAATAAATAATAATAATAATTAAAGAGCAGCAGTAAAATAAAATAACAGTAGGGAGGCTAGATACAGGGGTTACTGGTACAGAGTCAATGTGCTGGCGCACAGGTTAGTCGAGGTAATTGAGGTAATATGTACATGTGGGTATGATCATCGGTGCCAGGCACGCCGGTTCCAGTATCTCAGAAACGTGGGTAGAGTTATTGTGGTGGTGTCAGGGGGCATTTATCAAAGTAGCGTATATACAAATGCTTGGGTAGGATAGAGACTGAGGACCCCGTATCAACTAACAGTTCAATGGGGTGAGGAGCAACCTTGGAGTACCGACAGAGACTATGCAATGTATTTTCTCTCTGTTCAAATCTTGGTCTAGTATGCATAATACTGTAAGCTCCGGTACCTCGACCTCTTGTACATTTACTTTTTTTATCGGCACGGCACACCCATGCGTAATGACCGGTTTTGTCACAGGCCGTGCATTAAGCCTTGGCGGCGGGGCAGTCCGTAGCGTTAGCTAAGTGTGTATTAGAGCCACGCCTGTAACAGCAGCGACCTGACTTTCTTGTATCATCAGGTGGATTGAAGTCGGCACGGGCCTCTCTGTTTATTCTTCTTTTGGGGCTTTTCTCTCACTGCCTGCACTGGCATTGGATTATTAATGGACTGAATGTGGGCTTGGCCACATTCCACTTGAGTAGCGAGCGCAATAGCAGTGTGCAGTGTGAGATTAGCCTGCAGTAAAAGCCTTTCTTTGACACGAGAGCATGAGGCCTTTTTTAACAAGTTGATCTCTCAACATCTCATCTCCTCTATCACCGAAGTCACAGTTCACAAGTAACTCTCAGGGCAGCAACGTAATCTGCTATGGACTCATCAGGTCTCTGTGCTCTTTGTTGGAATTTATGGCGCTCAACCACGACATTGATAGCCGGAATGAAATGTTCTTGGAGAGCTGTGACAGCTGTTGCAAACGTAGTACCTGTATCTGGTAAGGTGTAAAAGATCCTTTGACCTTCAGTACCAAGGCAATGTAGCAGCACTGCACGCTTCCTACCATCTGGCCAGTCATCTCCTGTAGCATTGATAGCCACCAAGTAGTTGTTGAAGATTTTCAACCACATGGCCAATGGCATTGTAGGTTGACCAGGGAAGAGCAGGAACGGAGTAGGTGATGATGCTAATGCTGCTGCCATCCTCGTCGCCAATCTTGTCGTTTAGTAGGCTCAGCAACATGAGGACACGATGGGTATAATTAATTAAGGGTACGTTTACTCAGCAAGCTTAGCACTCCATCACAGCATACATCATCAGCACATGCATACTCTTCTTCTCCCTATCTGAAATCCTGTTCTCATTGTACTTCCGTTCTGTGTCAGAATAGGTAGAATAAAATACCTGTATGTCTCTAGTGGTACACTTGGGTAGTGCAGCAGAACACAACACAGCTAAAAACAAGAAGAAGTGGCTCCAGTGGGCACTCGATCACCAACACTGAACAATTGACGAATCCCGGTTCCTGTTGCGTAATGCTGATGGCAGAGTCAGGATTTGGCGTAAGCAGCAAGCAGCATGAGTCCATGGCCTCATCCTGCCTGGTGTCAACGGTAAAGGCTGGTGGTGGTGGTGTAATGGTGTGGGGAATGTTGTCCTGGCACACGTTAGGTCCCTTATATAATATATAATATAATATGCCATTTAGCAGACGCTTTTATCCAAAGCGACTTACAGTCATGCGTGCATACATATTTTGTGTATGGGTGGTCCTGGGGATCGAACCCACTACCTTGGCGTTACAAGCGCCGTGCTCTACCAGCTGAGCTACAGAGGTCCCTTGATACCAATTGAGCAACGTTTGAATGGCACACCTTGTAGAGTCCATTCCCCGAAGAATTCAGGCTGTTCTGGGGGCAAAGCGGGATCCGACCCGGTACTAGATGGATGTACCTAATAAACTGGCCACTGTGTGTATATAGGGCCCTATAAAATCTGCGATGTGGACTGAATCACGGAATCCAGATAATAAAATGGAAGGTAACACTTTATTTGGATAGTCCATCTGTAGATGCTCTACAGACTATCAGTAACATTTCAATGAACTATCTTTTAACCTTAACCCTTATCCTAACCCTAAACTTAACCCTTACCCTAACCCTTATTCTAAACATCAATCAATGAAATTGTATTTGTCACATGCACCGAATACAACAGAAATGCTTACGTACGAGCCCTTTCCCAACAATGCAGAGTTAAAAAGTAAGAACACTTGCAAAAAATAATAATAATTAGTAACACAATAAATAACTATAATAAGGCTATATTCAAGGAGTACCAGTACCGAGTCAATGTGCAGGGGTACAAGGTAGTTGAGGTAATATGTACATGTAGGCAGGGGTAAAAGTGACTAGGCAATCAGGATAGATAAACAGAGTAGCAGCAGCTTATGTGAAGAGTGTGAAAGTGTGGCGTCAGTATGCATGTGTGTATGAGCGTCTGTCTGTGTGTGTTGGAGTGACATTGTAAGTATGTGTGTGTGTGGGTAGAGTCCAGTGAGTGTGCATAGAGTCAGTGCAAAATAGTCTGTGTAGCCATTTGATTAACTGTTCAGCAGTCTTATGGATTAGGGTAGAAACTGTTCAGGAGCCTAAACATTGCCCTGAATCTAGCCGTAACATTAGCAAGCAGTTGCTTATCAACAGATAGTCAGTTGCTTATCAACAGATAGTCAGTTGCTTATAAACAGATAGTTTGTTGATAGTATGACCATCTGACCAAATAAAGTGTGACCAAACAGAATTCAACAATATTCAAAAAAGTTATTGCACTTAGTAGGGAATCAACTAAATGTATTGAAAAGTAATTAATTAGCCTAAGTTTATCATAAGACATGAACAGAATGCATCTGTGATTCGTATTTCATGCGACTTTCTGAAGAAACATCGAGAATTCCCTGTCTGTGTATGTGCAGTGCGAGTGTCTACCACTTTGTGTAGCCGTTAGCGATGATGCTAATGAAAAGTCTTCTGGTAGATGGAAAGGCTTTCCCAAAAACCTTCTCAATTAAATGTTAACTACAAAGTAGCCTATGCTTACCTGGCAGAATGATATCATGATTATTTGCATCAATCCAGTGGGTATTTGTTTTGCAAACTCTACGATCACATGTGTGCTACAAAAACACCTCTAAACAACAGCTTCTTGCTTCTGGAATTAACACCCAAAAATCAAAATCAAATAAAAAATCCCAAGCTCAAACGTTGTCTCCTGATGTGGTTTAAGCATTTTTGTAGACTTAGAACATCCAATTTAGTTGTTTTTCCATTTTTAAAAAATTTGATTTTGAGAGGGAAAACCTGAAAAAATGGGGGGAAACAGAAACCTGGAAAAAAACAACGGAGAAAATGAAATTTGGGAAGAAACGGATTCAGGCTACTAATAATAGAGATTTTATAGGGCCTTATATACAGTATACACACACACATACAGTTCATTCGTAAAGTATTCAGATCCTTCACTTTTTCCACATTTTGTTACGTTACAGCCTTATTCTAAAATGGATTAAAAAAAGAAAATCTCAGCAATCTACCCCATAATGACAAAGCAAAAACAGGTTTTTAGAAAAAAACAGGCAGTGGCTCGGGTGGTTGATGTCCTTGATGATCTTTTTGGCCTTCCTGTGACATCGGGTGCTGTAGGTGTCTTGGAGGGCCGGTAGTTTGCCCCCGGTAATGCGTTTGGCAGACCGCACCACCCTCTGGAGAGCTTGTGAGGGTTTTAGGTGCCAAGCCAAATTTCTTCAGCCTCCTGAGGTTGAAGAGGCTCTGTTGCGCCTTCTTCACCACACTGTCTGCGTGGGTGGACCATTTCAGTTTGTCGGTGATGTGTACGCCAAGGAACTTGAAGCTTTCCTCCTTCTCCACTGTGGTCCCGTCGATGTAGATAGGGGGGTGCACCCTCTGCTGTTTCCTGAAGTCCACGATCATCTCCTTTGTTTTGTTGACCGGTTGTAAGAAAATAGAAAGCTGTGAAAATGAAAAAACAGGTTTCTGATAAGATTTCAGTTAGGCTTGGATGCATTTTATGTTGTTGAAATAGGCTACTATCAGCTTTTATGATGCTGATAAAAATAGCACCCCAACAGAAGGTATCTAACTGAGCATTCGCATTCTCTCAAGATGCTGAAATAAATAAATAATATTTCTCCACTCCTGTTCCCCAGTGAAAATGTTGCCTACATTTGTTGTATCATTTTACTGCAATAAATTATTAATTATGCAGGAGTTAATATTAAGGCTGTGAGAGAGGTTATAGACCTACAGTCAGTGTTTAGATTTCAGTTTCCATTTTAACCCATCTGAACAGTAAGCTACAGTTCCCTTGATGTGCCATAGGCCTATTTAAAGTCCCCTCTTGTAACTGGGCTGTCATGTGCCTTTTACTGAGGAGTGGCTTCCGTCTGGCCACTCTACCATAAAGGCCTGCTTGGTGGAGTGCTGCAGAGATGGTTGTCCTTCTGGAAGGTTCTTCCATCTCCACAGAGGAACTATGGAGCTCTGTCAGAGTGACCATCGGGTTCTTGGTCACTTTAGGAATAGTCTTGGTGGTTCCAAACTTCTCCCATTTTTAAGAATGATGGAGGCCACTGTGTTCTTTGGGACCTTCAATGCTGCAGAAATGTTTAGGTACCCTTCCCCAGATCTGTGCCTCGACACAATCCTGTCTCGGAGCTCTACGGACAATTCCTTCGACCTCATGGCTTGGTTTTTTCTCTGACATGCACTGTCAACTGTGGGACCTTATATAGAAGGAGTTTGCTTTTCCAAATCATGTCCAATCAATTTAATTTACCACAGGTAGACTCCAGTCAAGTTGTAGAAACATCTCAAGGATGATCAATGGACACAGGATGCACCAGAGCTCAATTTCAAGTCTCATAGCAAAGGATTTTGCTTTATCATTATGGGGTATTGTGTGTAAATTGATGAGGAAAAAATTAATTTAATAGATTTTACAATAATGTTGAAAAAGTGAAGGGGTCTGAATACTTTCCGAATGCACTGTACATGGAAGCTCGCAGCACGCAGTCTCTCATACTTACAGTATCAGTTTGCACATTAAAATATCACTGTAAAACAACAAACGTTTGTATTGAAAGACTTTGTACAATTGTAATAATTTACAGTGCACATTTCACGGCTGTCAAATAATTCCAAATCCCACTCTATTTAGAAGGATTAGCTACATTCGGAATTCCACTGACCGTTATGGATTAACTCCTCAACCTTCTTGTTGGAGCTTGCCTTTGGCGAGGCCTTTTTTAACATCTCCCTCTCCCTCATAGATACTACCTGTGTCTGCAGCTGAGAGATGACATGTTGTCAGGTCGTCTGCCCTGTTCCTTCGTGACCCATGCCCTGCTGGGTTCCTACGCTGTGCAGGCCGAGCTGGGAGACTATGACACCGACGACCATGGCCCCGACTACGTCAGCGACTTCCGCTTCGCACCTAATCAGACGCGAGAGCTGGAGGAGAGGGTCATGGAGCTCCATCGGAACTACAGGTAGTAGTTATGGTTATGGCCAAGAGTATAATCTGACCACCAGAAAATGATAGGGCCATGACAAGGGTCTGGTAGGTTTTCCTGGCCAGGTCACATGATCAGAAAAACCTCTAGACCCAGTCAGGTTTATTTCAGTTGCATATTTGTAGTAAATACATATCTCCATCTCTCATTCATATGGAACCATTGGAGCCTGCTGATGAACCTTTGCTCAGACAGTGTCCAACAACACACCATACATATGTTGACAAATGCCACCACATTGCCCTGGCATCTGTCATGGCTGTCTACATGGAGGCCTTGCCAACACTGTCAATACTTCCCCAGTCTCAGGGTCTCCCCCATCCCTTTCCTGGCATGGCCCCAGTGCTTGACTCTTGGCCAAGGAGTTATGGTAGAAAGGTGGAGGGAGAGACATGGGATTGGAAATATCACTCATACCATTTGAATATTCAATTGGTTCTCCTGTGTGAATTGCATTTTTGGTTTCAGGGGTATGACTCCAGCTGATGCAGAAATCAACTTCCTGGAAAATGCTAAGAAGCTATCCATGTATGGGGTGGACCTTCATCATGCCAAGGTATGCTGTTACATATTACATTTTGTGAGTCTATGTTTCTATGTGACTGTGCAGGATTATTTATTTTACCTTATACACCAACATATTACTTTATTACTTGAATGTTTCCTCTCCTTCCCTCTCTTCTTCCTCTCCTTTCATCTTCCTCTCCTCTGCCATGCTGGTCCTTGGCTGCTCCAGGATTCAGAAGGGATTGACATCATGCTGGGCGTGTGTGCCAACGGGCTCCTGATCTACCGCGACCGCCTGAGGATCAATCGCTTCGCCTGGCCAAAGATCCTTAAGATCTCCTACAAGAGGAGCAACTTCTACATCAAGATCCGGCCTGGGGAGGTAAACTGAACCAAGTTAGAGTGGCTGCTCTGTACATTCTTAGAAAAAAGGGTTCCTGAAGGGTTCTTCGGCTGTCACCGTAGAGAACCCTTTTTGGTTCCAGTTAGAAAGGGTTCTACATGGAACATAAAACGGTTCTACTTGGAACCAACAAGAGTTCTTCAAAGTGTTATCCTATGGGGACAGCCGAAGAGGTTCTAGGTAGCACCTTTTTTTCTAAGAGTGTAGATGAGGTGTTACCCCCTTACAAAATGAACATGAGACATTAACATTTATGCAGTATGCACCCTATCATTTCTGTTATAACTGGAACTACGTCCAGCTAAAGATTGTGAGGAAACGAATGTGTGGTCAGTTCGACTGACCAGAGAACTGGAAAATATTCCCCCCCCCAATTTTGCTGCTCCACAGGCTTAGAATCTATAGCCTGCCTCTCTCTCCCAGTCCCTTTTCAGTTCTTGCTGCGCTGCAGCCACAACCTCTGCAGCCTACTGAGCTTAGCCCCAGCCCAGCAGCTCAGCCCAGTGTGCCAGGCTGTCTGGCCAGGGCTGCTAAAGTGACAGAGCCCCACAATGAGCCTGTGGAAGAGCAGGATAAAGACATGTAGCACTGCCAGTGCAGCTGCAGCAGCACCCAGAATAGAGGGATGAAAAGTCTAAATATAGTCATGAAAATTGAAATGCTACCCTCATGTTTGTCTCCACTGTTTGAAAATGGTCGTTTCTTAGCCATTTGGCTCAGTGCAGGAATCTGTCTGGTGGTCACAGGGCTGGAATTTCAGGGAGAACAGATTACTAGTGTGCATACTTGGGAGTTTTAACCTTGCTTGTCAGCCATTTGGCTTTGGAACAGGTGTCTGTGGGTTTACAGGAGTGAACAGTTTCACACTGTGTCTGTTTGCTTAGAGCTTGTTTCATCTTCTGAGTGACAAGCAGGCCGATTCAACAAATCTATCTGAACAGCATATAACTTCAAATTGTGACAGTTTGGAATATGAAATAAAGTGCTGATGCATTACAAGGTTGTTTTTAAGAACGTATCATGTCATTCAAAACTGCATTCACTCCCTCATACACTGCATTCATGCAGTAAATGTAACCACAAGAAACACCTGCTCCTCTCTCTTTCCCCTCCCTCCCTTCCTTTCTGTCTCCCCCTCTCCCTCTATCTCCCTCTCGTGAACCAGTACGAGCAGTTTGAGAGCACTATTGGCTTCAAGCTTCCCAACCACCGGGCGGCTAAGAGACTATGGAAGGTCTGCATCGAGCACCACACCTTCTTCAGGTAAGAGCAACTTCAGGTATCTAATCCCCTCTGTAAGTCGCTCTGGATAAGAGCGTCTGCTAAATTACTAAAATGTAAATGTAAATGTAGTAGCACTCTTGTACCTCTCTTATGTTACCCCATGCAAGCCATTTCTCCTTAAGTCCGCTTGATCTTTAGGCAGCCAAATATAACCAAACACCACTCACTTCAAGCCTGTTCACATCTCTCTATAGCATTTTCCCATCCGCTTCCAGCACCTTCTATCCCACTGTTGGGGAAGCTCAGGAGTGATTATAGCACAGCTTTGATCAGGGCTCTCTCTCCCTGTAGGCACCATCCCCATCCACAGCAACATTTTGTTTCACAGCAGCCAGCACTAGACTGAGGCTGAAGGTGTTTCCCTCTCTGTTTTGTGTCTTCCTCTTCATGTTACGACTTGTGTCTCTGGTGTTTCTCTGCCCATGCTGCCTCAGGTTTTGAGGAATTCACTGTAAGAGGAATATGCAACCATGTAGTAAAGAGCAATGTTTTCAAGCAGGTGCTGCTGCTCTAACATGAGTCCAATGTTCTCAGCATTTTACAAAGCCATTTACTACATCCAGTAATTACTCTCATACTTACATCTGGTATTTCTCTCAATTGTTTTGCTGTAAAGCAAGGATGGTGAATTTCTCTTTCACCAGTATTTTTAAGTTAACCCTTGTTATTTTTCTACTGTTGCAACCAAAATACCATGCAATCAGACAATAAAGATGTTCCTGAATCTTGATTCTCCAGGTTAGTCTCCAGAATTAGGGCTGATGAATTCCTCTCTGTCTGTGGACTATAACACCTCCAGGTTAGTGTCTCCAGAGCCTCCTCCTAAGGGCTTCCTGGTGATGGGCTCTAAGTTCCGCTACAGTGGGCGAACCCAGGCCCAGACCCGGCAGGCCAGCGCCCTTATAGACCGGCCCGCGCCACACTTTGAACGCTCCACCAGCAAGAGGTACCTGCTGTCCCGCAGTCTGGATGGAGGTAAGTACCATGGTTGTGTTCCTCAATGGCTACTCACACAAGGGACAATTGTTCAAAGTGAATTATAGTATGATATATCAGTGGCTATGGGATATTTTTTCATACCTGAAGACATAGCCTTAAGGTTTAGATGCGGCTATGTATGTACACTACGGGTCAAAAGTTTTAGAACACCTACTCATTCAAGGGTTTTTCTTTATTTGTACTATTTTCTACATTGTAGAATAATAGTGAAGACATCAAAACTATGAAATAACACATATGGAATCATGTAGTAACCAAAAAGTGTTAAACAAATCAAAATATTTGAGATTCTTCAAATAGCCACCCTTTGCCTTGATGACAGCTATGCACACTCTTGGCATTCTCTCAACCAGCTTCACCTGGAATGCTTTTCCAACAGTCTTGAATGAGTTCCCATATATGCTGAGCACTTGTTGGCTGCTTTTCCTTCACTCTGCGGTCCAACTCATCCCAAACCATCTCAATTTGGTTGAGGTCGAGGGATTGTGGAGGCCAGGTCATCTGATGCAGCACTCCATCACTTGGTAAAATAGCCCTTACACCGCCTGGAGGTGTGTTGGGTCATTGTCCTGTTGAAAAATAAATTATAGTCCCACTAAGCCCAAACCAGATGGGATGGCGTATCGCTACAGAATGCTGTGGTACGCATGCTGGTTAAGTGTGCTTTGAATTCGAAATAAATCACAGACAGTGTCACCAGCAAAGCACCCCCACACCATAACACCTCCTCCTCCATGCTTTACGGTGGGAAATACACATTCAGAGATAATCCGTTCACCCACACCGCGTCTCACAAAGACACGGCGGTTGGAACCAAAAATCTCAAATTTGGGCTCCAGACCAAAGGACAAATTTCCACCGGTCTAATGTCCATTGCTAGTGTTTCTTGGCCCAAGCAAGTCGCGTCTTCTTAATGGAGTCCTTTAGTAGTGGTTCTTTGCAGCAAGTCGACCATGAAGGCCTGATTCACACAGTCTCCTCTGAACAGTGAGATGTGTCTGTTACTTGAACTCTGTGAAGCATTTATTTGGGCTGCAATTTATGAGGCTGGTAATGAAAAGAGAAATGTAGAAAAGAGTAAAAATAAAGAAAAACCCTTGAATGAGTAGGTGTTCTAAAAATGCTGGATTGTTCCCCCATAATAAAACAGTCCTACTGTGCCTTTGTCTAACCAGCAGAGTTCTCCCGGCCAGTGTCGGCCATGTGTGAGAACCAGGATGGTCTGTCCCGGCGCAGCGTCAGTGAACACCCCCACCTCCACAGCCCCTCTGGGGACGAACAGGAGACTGAACTGGAACCACCCAGTCTTGAGCAGGACAATGAGGAGGAGGAGGATGAGGAACGGGATCCTAAGGAAGACCAGGACCAAGATGAGGATGGTGTCACCACCCCCTGCAAGAAGAAGGAGATCAAGGTACTGTTAGGCAGATGGGAGTAAGGATTGATACATGACTTGGACTTATGATACTGCGGTTGTCATATCTGGTTCAGAGGGTAAATAGCCCAACCTAGCATGGTTGACAGACCTGTATGTGCTTTAGCCAACTCTTCTAACATTCCTTAGGCTACATGACATAGGAGTTGGATAAAGCACAAACAGATCTGTGGACCCAGGCTCAGCCTAATTGTTTCTCAGAATCACACATTCTACATTTGATGGTAAGTGTCCCCACTTGCATTGCAGGAAAGTTCTCCTGCAACAGGGTGATCAAATTAAGATCCTACATCTGTATGGCAGTTTAGAGAGTCACACTGCTTGTGTGGAGATTATGTTTTTGTCAGGGTGGATCTGTATGTCTCAATGCAGATGGTAGTGACTGCAGGGGTGCAGGAGTGTACCGCTGGAACTTTCTCTGCTGGGGTTTAAAGCTAAAGATATGTCAGAACTAACTCTGCTCCCTCTCTGCCACTCAGTGGCTTATATGCTAACCAGTATGGCTCACTATCCCCACTAACAGCTATATCGAACCTTCACTTCTCTCTCATAATGTCAAGCCAACCTCTCCTGTTGCTGTTCTTCTCTGCTCTCTCTCCCTGTCATTCACTAACATGCTCTCTCTCTTTAACCCTCTCTGGCAAAAGGAGGATGCTGGGTCCCCACTTGACAATATACAAGAGGTATTTGGTGTCTGGTGCCCTGTCTGTCTCTCTGTCAGTCTGTCTGTCAGTCTGTGAGATGGCTCTTTGCCTATCTGTCTTGTTGTTTAGTAATCCCACATATTCCTGTTAAACTAGCAGTAATTGACATACAGTGAATAATCATCTGCACCATATTATATTTGTTTGCACCCAAAGTATTACATTGAAGCTGCAAAGCCTTCATTTTATGCTGGTAATGCAATATTTTATTTCCTTCTAGAATGAACTACGGTTTTGGTACAGCTGTATTTTTTGTTGTTAACTAATGCTTTGGGGGCTGTTTTTTTGTCTACACTTTTTGCATGAGGTGGTACTCAAATCAAATAGACATGATGACAAAGTTCCCCAATGATCATTCAACCATCAGAGCAAGAGCTTAACTATAAGGATTTTACAGGCAATTCAACGTGAAAATCTTAAGTCAGCCTGCATGGTTGTGTGTGTGTGTGTTCCTGGTTTGTGCTTGTGGTGTTTGTGTCTACTGCTGTCTGTGTCCAGTCCGGGTTGCTCAGTCTACCTGTCTGTCTGCCTGCCTGACCTCCTTGACTCACCATCTCTGCTCTTCCTCTCTGTCTCTGCATCCTCCCCCACTCCCCTTACCCCACCCTACACGCCCCTACCCCTGTCCCTGTCCGTGCTCCTGCCCCAACTCTGCCCTCTCAGTTGGACCAGGAGACAACCCCTCGACACAAGGAGGTACAGCTCATTGTGCTGATGATCTGTCCAGAGTTGGAGTCAGTTCCAGGTCTATTCCTGTCTGTTCAATTGGACATTGCATTTCTTCAGAAGTTAAAATCAGTTCCGTAAATGACTGGAATTCAGATGGAATTGATTTCAACCATGGTTCTGTCATAGTGCTTCGTGACCGACTCAGCTGAACAAGTGGTCTCTACCAAAATCTCATGATACTATTTGTAGACTATTGAACATCATGGAGCATTGCAATGTATGAAGTCTCTTAGGACTAGGGGAGAAAGTGCACTGAAGCTCAATTTCCTCTCTAAGTGCCTGCAGCATTAATGTAATGGCCCTGTTGTTGCATGGAGATGCAACACAGATTGCTATGGATTGTTAAGGATACTGAACAACCTTCACTTAAACCAGCCTTCATGTGAATTAACAGCATTAACTTAAGTCAGCCTTCAACTGATATGATGTATGCAGCTACAGTCAATGAAAATGAATACTAGGCAACAGTAGACTAGCTAGCTAACACGATTTATTAGCGCATTCAGTTGTTTTAATTTTGTGTTTGTTTCATCTTAATAAACAATGCAAATAGTTAGATAATAATTTCATTTGCGTGGGTTTTAATAGCATCCCAAATGCCATATTCATCAGTAGACAGACTACTGAACAGAATAGCAATGCAATCACAGGCCACAAACAATGCACTTGATCCATGCGCTGAATCGCTAAGTATTAAGACACATTAGTTTAAGTCATTGTGTTGGTGTATTTTCTTGTGTGCTGCCTGCGATACTAATGGCACTTTGATGTATTATTTCAGATCACGTTCCACTCGTCCATGCATATCAAGTCATAATGCAATTTAATTGTGTGTCAGTGTGATTACTACAGTGGTAATTTATATAGATGTCATACTAATGCATATTTCTCGCTCCTTCTCTCCCCATCCTCTCTCATTCTCATTCTTTATCTATCCCCTTTTATTCAATACAGTTTTTAGATAAGTCGGAGGATGTCTTATTGAAGCACCAGGCCAGTATCAATGAGCTGAAGAAAGCCCTGAGGGGGCCCAACAGCAAGCTGATGAATCGTGAGAAGCGGTTGTCAGGAACGTCCCCAGGCGGCACGCCCGAGAAGAAGGCTGTGAGTGTGGGATGAGGGTGGTGAGGACCTGCGGTCCACTGGAGCACGGGTGGAGGTTGAGAGTTTCACAACCTCTAACCTATGTACCAATTCTCCACTGTATGCCATGAATATGAATATATCACTGATAATGCCTTAAAGCTGCAATATGTAACTTTTTGAGCGACCCAACCAAATTCACATAGAAATGTTAGTTATAGATCTGTCATTCTCAGTACAAGCAAGTACTTTCGGTTTTGTACACCAGCTTTAAACAGCTGAACATACAATATTTTTGGTTATGGAAAATATATTTAGATGGTACAATGATTCTCTACACTATGCTTGCTTGTTTTGTCACATAAACTGAAATTTGGTGAACTATTAGAATTTTTGCACCAGGAAATTGGAGCGATTTCTGCATAGTGCATCTTTAATACTTCTGTTTAAACTGCCCTAACATCTGACAGTGAGGCTGTGTATGACAGACAGCATTGAAATTCCAGTCTTGCAGTAAGTTTCGTAGCACCTCTTACAGTTGACTCCCCTAGAACCAAGTATGCTTGGAGGTCAACACAGGAGAACATGTTTTTTTCCATTATTCATAAGGAAACAGACAGTACTGTGACATTGTGTTTGTGTGCTTTTGGAATAATGTAAACCTGAAGATCTGCAGTCTGATATGAAACCAATAACTGTATTTCTGACCATTACTTTTGAGGACAATAATATTTATTGAAGTTATTGTAAGTGGTTATTTATTGTAGATAGATATTGCTGCAGACTCAGACCCAATCTCTTGGATAGTGTGATGGTACTGCTAAAATATACTGAACAAAAATATAAACGCAACATGCAACAATTTCAACATTTTTACTGAGTTACAGTTCATATAAGGAAATCAGTCAATTGAAATAAATAAATTAGGCCCTAATCTATGGATTTCACATGACTGGGCAGAGGCTCAGCCATGGGTGGGCCTGGGAGAGCATAGGCCCACCCAGTTGGGAGCCAGGCCCATGAAAATGAGTTTTTCCCCACAAAAGAAGCCGGATGTGGAGGTCCTGGGCTGGCGTGGCTACACTTGGTCTCCGGTTGTGAGGCCGGTTGGACGTACTGCCAAATTCTCTAAAACGACGTTGGAGATGCCTTATAGTAGAGAAATGAACATTCAATTCTCTGGTAACAGCTCTGGTGGGCATTCCTGCAGTCAGCATGCCAATTGCACGCTCCCTCAAAACTTGAGGAATCTGTGTTGTGTGGCCTTTTATTGTCCCCAGCACAAGGTTCACATGTGTAATGATCACGCTGTTAATCAGCTTCTTGATATGCCACACCTGTTAGGTGGATGGATTATCTTGGCAAAGGAGAAATGCTCACTAACAGGGATGTAAACAAATTTGTGCACAAAATTTGAGAGAAATAAGCTTTTTGTGCATATGGAACATTTCTGGGATCTTTTATTTCAGCTCATGAAACATGGGACCAACACTTTACATGTTGCGTTTATATTTTTGTTCAGTCTAGACCATAAGAACACATTGAATAAAAAATTAATAATGGAAATCATGTCCTGCATTTATCATTAGAGGTGGGTGTTTGTAGCAATATAGAAAGGTTTGTGGTCATACGCACATCCTTATAAAAGAAAGTTACGTTTGTAACCACGGTTATGTGAGCTACAGTTGAAGTCGAAAGTTTACATGCACCTTAGCCAAATACATTTAAACTCAGTTTTTCACAATTCCTGACATTTAATCCTAGTAAAAATTCCCTATCTTAGGTCAGTTAGGATCACCACTTTATTTTAAGAATGTGAAATGTCAGAATAATAGTAGAGAGAATGATTTATTTCAGCTTTTATTTCTTTCATCACATTCCCAGTGGGTCAGAAGTTTACATACACTCAATTAGTATTTGGTAACATTGCCTTTAAATTGTTTAACTTGGGTCAAACGTTTCGGGTAGCCTTCCACAAGCTTCCCACAATAAGTTGGGTGAATTTTGGCCCATTCCTCCAGACAGAGCTGGTGTAACTGAGTCAGGTTTGTAGGCCTCCTTGCTCGCACACGCTTTTTCAGTTCTGCCCACAAATTCTCTATAGGATTGAGGTCAGGGCTTTGTGATGGCCACTCCAATACCTTGACTTTGTTGTCCTTAAGCCATTTTCCCACAACTTTGGAAGTATGCTTGGGGTCATTGTCCATTTGGAAGACCCATTTGGGACCAAGCTTCAACTTCCTGACTGATGTCTTGAGATGTTGCTTCAATATATCCACATAATTTTCCTTCCTCATGATGCCATCTATTTTGTGAAGTGCACTGGTCCCTCCTGCAGCAAAGCACCCCCACAGCATGATGCTGCCACCCCCGTGCTTCACGGTTGGGATGGTGTTCTTCGGCTTGCAAGAACTCCCTTTTTCCTCCAAACATAACGATGGTCATTATGGCCAAACAGTTCTATTTTTGTTTCTTCAGACCAGAGGACATTTCTCCAAAAAGTACGATCTTTGTCCCCATGTGCAGTTGCAAACCATAGTCTGGCTTTTTTATGCCGGTTTTGGAGCAGTGGCTTCTTCCTTGCTGCCTTTCAAGTTATGTCGATATAGGACTTGTTTTACTGTGGATATAGATACTTTTGTACCTGTTTCCTCCAGCATCTTCACAAGGTCCTTTGCTGTTGTTCTGGGATTGATTTGCATGTAACGTGTATGTAAACTTCTGACCCACTGGAATTGTGATACAGTGAATTATAAGTGAAATAATCTGTCTGTAAACAATTGTTGGAAAAATTACTTGTGTCATGCACAAAGTAGATGTCCTAACCGACTTGCCAAAACTATAGTTTGTTAACAAGAAATGTGTGGAGTGGTTGAAAAACAAGTTTTAATGACTCCAACCTAAGTGTATGTAAACTTCCGACTTCAACTGTATATGGATCACTCCAATATATTGGTATCACTCCGCGGCGGAAGGATACATCCGAGGTGAGGATGTACATTTTCACCTCGGATGTATCCCTCTGCCGCGGAGTGATACCAATATATTGGAGTGATCCATATAGTGAAACATAACATAGGTGCTGGGCTAACAAAGAATACTAGTAAAGAACTAGAAGGCCCGCACATTGTTGAAGCCCCCAATTCACCGTTTTATTGACAACGTTTCGATCCGAAACGGATCTTCGTTTGTTTGTAGCAATATCCCATATTTCTTTTATAGATGGTAGAAAAGTGATTCTGCAATAACTTGAAGAGAAGATGTGCAAAATCTGGAGATTTACTGAATATGCAAAATCTGGAGATTTACTGAATATGAAGCCCTAGAGGAACAACCATCTCGAGCGTCTACCCACCTTGATTGCCTGACAGTTAAAAAGCTTCCCTTTGTGTAAGAACACAAAAGCCCCTGCCGCTTTGATCACTTTCACATTGTGATTATACTGTTAAGATACAGTAATAAGATAATACTCTCCAGTGTAGCTCTGTCAATGCAGTCTGTTTCCGGGTATTTATATAGTCTACTGACAACTTTTTCTTTTGCTCTCTGAGAACAATCGGATTATAGCCATAGAGATTATCATCAGACATCCTCGAGGGCATGAAAACTACATCTGTCATGTACCTACATAGATCTGAGGGAGCGATGCTATTGTCCTGATTGAATAATGACAAAGTGTGGCCTGAGAAATCTCTCTATCCTGGAGGAGTCCAACTCAGAGAGATTCAGAGGAAATCATAAATCCTTTGATGTAGTCGCAAATGTTATTTTTGCATTGCAAATACCTCCTCAACTGGATATGTGGATTTGGCAGCCGCAATGTGCATGTTGAAGTTAACTAGGCCCATGTTGCTTTTTTGCAATACTCTCGTCATTTGATTCAAGATTAATCTTGATTGGCTCATAGATTTCAGCTAGGTCTCCCTTGCCCATTGAATCAATATTTCTTCCTCCTTTCTACCCTTCTCTTTCATTTTCCCCTTTTGCATGAAATTACCAAAAGTTGGATAGTATGCTGTGACAAAGGACCATACAGTTGGGGCTCATCTAATAGCTGTTCTCCTCCCTTTCTCTTCTCCCCCCCCCCCCCCACACCTCTCCTGGTGGGTAATGCTCTGCCCCCCATAAGGTGGGGGGCAAGAACCAAGTAAACAGCCTCTCTGTAGAGGGCTTCTTCCAGAAGACTTTGGTGACTTCCCCAGAGGTTGCTCTTCACTTCCTCTTCCTCTCTCTTCTAACTTCTACCTCATAACATACTGACTGTACTGTAGTTGGCCATTTATCTGTAATGAAACTGTGGTCTGGTACCATTTTATATGCACACTGCACACTCAGCTAGAGCTGATATCCCTTGCATATTGTTTTAATCTGACCTGCTGCAGTCATCGTGTCTGAGAAAATCTTTAAGAAATGCAATAACCAACATATACATTTTGATGTAAATGTAACATTTCGATGTATGATTGCAGCAATTGAAGCAGAAATTATTAGCAGATTACAGTCTATGAGCATGCACCTACAATCTACACGGAGGACTGTAGAGGTTCTATTTGTGCTATAAAAACAAATGTATGTACTGTAGCTGTTAATCTATGTTACAATTCAGTTGGCACCTCTAACTGTGTTTAATCTATATCAACATGTAGGGCTCTGAGGAGTGGGTATTGATTGAGAAACAAGACACTTATCAACAGAACCATGACTGGAAGGCAGAGGAACAGAACAAAGCTTCCACCTCGTCTCCCCCATTAGTCCCTGATTTTTCTTGCGAAAGAAAAGAAGAACTGGAAAAAGAGGTAGAAGGAGCCAAGATGATTAATATCGAGGCTACAGGGGAGGATTGGCCAGAAATGAGAACAGATATTGATAACTTTCCCTCGCCCAAAGCCACAAGGGAAGCCCATGATGAATGTTCTGAACCGCGGCTGACTAGCAACAGCCGGTTCATGGTGGAATTAGCTGAAACCACCGAATCTTCTGATGCAAAGAATGACATAGTCCCAGTCCCAGACCCATTCTCAACCCAATCCCCAATCCCAGCCCCAGTCCCATTCAGAGACTCTAAGAAGGATCATCAACCCAACAGACACAGAAAAAAGAAGAGACCTAATAGTTTAAACCTGGGAATGTCGACAGAATTCATCTATGAGAAAGAGGGTGATGGCTCAAACGGCGAAGAAGACAACGAGGGCTCGGACTGGGAGGATAGTCCTACAGAGAAGACAAAGGCGGGACTAATAGATATCCCTCAAGACAGTACAACAAGAGAGGAGCCAGATGACCAGTGTTGGGTGACGAATGCAGTGATGAAAGATGAGGAGAGATCACCAGAGGCAAAATGGAAGGAGAAAGGGGTGTCTGCTGCTGTGTATGAAGATAACAAGAAGGACTACATTACATCAATGGGAGAAGGTGAGGAGACTCATGGAAGTGCTGTGGATGACCCTGCATGGTGTGATGGAAAGGACCAGGCTAAGAGCTTCATCACTGATGAAGTCCAGCCAGCAGATGAAGTGCTGGGTTCTGTCAACGGTCCTGGGAAGACAGAATGGGATAGTTTTGCAGAACAGGTTAAAGAGTTTGATCTTAGAGAGAGGAGCATGACTGACAATAGAGAACACATAGCAGAGGTCAAACTGAGGGTGGTCAAGACCCATGAGAGAAAAGCCAGGAACTCTGGGGGGGAGGAAATGGAAGGTCTCATGTCAGAGCTCAGGGGTCAGAGAAGGTCTTTTCAAAGATTATCAGGCAGCAGTCAGTCAGAAATCACCAGGATCGTTCCTCTCAAACCTGAAAGGTCAAAGAGCTTAGCATGCAAAGATGAGCAGGACAAAGGGAGTCCGGAAACTGAGTCTGAGCTGAGTGGAGTTTTTAGAAGAGAGTACAGATGGTCAGGGGGTTCGTCAGAGGGACCCTCAGACATCAACCGGAACGACGGACCCACCTTTCATCCAACATTCACCCTGCCTACGTCATTAATCTCAACCAATGCTAGTCCAGCAAGACAGACTCACTCCCCGTCCATGACACACAGAGAAGCCCCACAGGTACAGGGCAGCTTCTGGGGTCTGGAAGGCTTGGCGAGAGTCGAGGCTAAAACTGAAGAGCTGGTCCAGGAACAGAGCAGCACAGCCTGTGACGAACCCTTTCAGGTGGCTAGAGAAGCCATAGAGAGTCATCAGCTTCTCAGCTTTAAGACCTCAGCTCCAGCTTCAGCGCTTCCCAGAACAGCTCCTCCTGCCCCTCCAATGAAAACACGGAAGGCCAGAGAGTCTGGACTCATACTCCGGAACATCAACCGCAATGCTAGCAGGGAGCCAGGCCTGGATGCAGCCAAGAAGAGACACTCGGTAACTTGACATCTGCATTCAGTCATTTGGAAGCAAAAAGCATTGCATGAGCTTCAGACTGACCCGCACACTCCCATTTTCTTATTTTCCTGTTTTCAGTGACTTGAATATACATGTAACTTATACATGCCTGTATATGAAGAAGGGGGTGGAGTGTAACTTATGACACACTGGTTTTGGCTGCGTCTCATTGGCTGATGCAGCCATCAATGCATTTTGTCTGCTATGAGTTTGGATCCACCCCATTTAGCCCCCCTACTCCTCCCTGCCTCCCTTCACCATTATGCTTCACAACAAACCTGAAACACAACTGCTTGCAAATCTGTAGAACTCACTACAGGGCTGTGGTAGAGATTGTCAAAAAGACAAACACAACTTTTCATGCTTTGGCTCTTGGCTTCTATTCCCCCTCTATTCACATTTGAACCTTGATTTTCCTTCCAACTAACCCTCTAGCAAGTATTTTTCGCAGAGGGTTGCAAGGAAACAAAGGCTCTTGCATATTGCCATGGCTCTGAGGTTTTTTACACTTCTCCATGCTGTTTCCAAGCTGAAATGTGGAGGAAGGCATGGACTTCAGACATGGTTTCATACATGTTTTACAGCTCAATTGACTGTGACAGGAACTGTATGAGAAAATGAGAGAAATATGTCATTATCACCCATAAAGGCACTCTATGCTACATATACTGTACAGTATGCTCATCAGTCACATCTCGGCCATTAATCTCCTGACCTCAAAGACACTTTTTAAAGAAAATGACAAATGATACCCGCTCAGTAGTTTGCATAATGTCATGTAAATAGTTTATTGTGATTTGACAACTTCATTAACATGAAAATGAATAACAGGAACATTAAGCTAAATGTAGCTAACGGTACCTTATTGGGTAATGATTATTTATAAACCAGATCAAATGCTTTACAAGGATCATACATTGGATGCTATATGCATTCTTGTAAAGCAAAGAACCCACCCAGACTGTGAAAAAGAAGGGCAGGCAACATGCCATCCAGCAGCAATACCCAGGCTGCTGTACTGTAGCTACACAGACAGACTAGCTTTCAGAAAGAGAGTCACCACTTTCATTTCACAGTTGGTGTCATTAGGAGCTTACACATATTTGGCAGTGGAATGAAAATCATTTGAAATCAGGCCTGGGATCTAACAGCTTAAATCATTCATCTGATTCTAGGCCCAGGACACATTGGCACGATCAGGCATGGAACGAGGTGTGAGATCACTTTGTAAGCTGCCTCACCCAAAAACTGACAAACAGCATGTGAGAGCACCAGTGGTTCTGTATACTGGGTGTGCAAAAACAGAATGGGCTTCCAAGCATGTTATAAAAGCCTGCTTATTTTGACATCCAAAACTGCCTTTGATGTCATTGAAACCAAACATTATTCTTTGGCCATTTGAACATTTGAGCCCCTTGAAATTCAGTCTGCGTGGTTTGCATTCTATGATTCTGTCGTTGGCCAATGATTGACTGTTGTCATGCTGCTACGGCTGCTCTATACTATCAAATCTTACAACCTGTCCATAGTACATTCTGTACGACACTAGTTTATACTAATTCCAAGTAGGACAACTGGCTTTACATGGTGGGTTCATTTCTCTTGTCCAAGCTGGTGGTAAGCTTACTTGTTTTTTGTACTCACAAATAGATGGAAGGGGGAACTGCCCTACTATGTTAGAAACGTGCTGTTCTGTTGTTCTAATGGATGGTTAGTAGAGACCCAGTCTCTCTACTGATGTCTAGTAGTCTACTGATGTCTCTCCAGCTTGGACTAACCTCTGGCTGCTCTCCTTCTTCCCCTGCTTTCCCTCTGCAGGAGCCTCTCTCCACTCTTGCCATTTATGAAGATACAGTAGATGATGCCAAGGTCACTTTACATTTAGAATTTAACCACATGCCTCACCATTTTCCCATTTATGTTCTCTCTTGTGGTAGTTTAGTCCCTCACTCCCCATTTTCTCCCTCACTGTCACCCATGGGTAACTCTGTCATATGGGCAGCATACATAGAGGCTGAACCCTGACTATGGCACAGGCGTTTACCTTCCACTACGTTGAAAGTAATTTCCTCTGTGTAAGACTGTATCTCCTCTCTTCTCCATATATATGATGTAGCAAATTGCATGCCTGGAGAAGATTTTTATGATCGGTTTTTATGATAATATAGGCATGTATAATATGTATCAGGGCCTCGAGGAAAGATCCTACATGAATACTTATACATACCTCCAGGCCAGGACATATTCCCTTCTAGAGGATCATTCATCCACTGTCATCTCATCATCATCATTATCATCATAACCAACATCCCCTCTCTCATGGTCACTCCCTGCCCTGAGCTGCCGCCAGACTGGCCTTATGTTGTGATTCTGTTGTGGCGGCCATCTTTCTGTAACCCCCTCTCTCACCCAGAGGGAACATTGGGAGAGGAGGCCTCGGCCGGGCTCCACCTCGGAGGAAGACCACGAGCGTGACACGGTGGTCTTCATGAAAGAGACCCACCTGGGTATCGAGAGGAAGTGCTCCAGCATGACGGTCAGCTCCACGTCCAGCCTGGAGGCCGAGGTGGACTTCACCGTCGTCATGGACCTCCACACGGGCGTGGAGGAGTTCTCCAAGGGCCTGTCTGAGCTGGGGGAGAGGGAGCGGTTGCCCGAAGTGGGCCGGGATGACTTTGAGGAGACCTCCAGGTTCTATTCGGCCCATCTCATGGGCTCCCATGACATGTCCCCTGTAGAGGAGATGCCCCCTGAGGAACGTGTGCGCCATGAGGTAGACATAGAGATAATGTACCCCATCCCTGATCCTTGCCACTCCCCATCTCCTCCTTCCTGCTTCTGAGAACGAATCTGCCCTGCTAGGAATGCCTGCCCTTAAAGGGATAATTGATTATTTTGTCAATGAAGCCCTTTATCTACTTCCCTAGAGTCCGATGGACTCGTGGATGCCATTTTTATTTATGCATGCAGTTTGAGGGAAGTTGTTAACTAGCGTTAGTGAAATGACTGGAAGTCTATGGTAACTGCTAGCATGCTAGTAGATACCATCGATTTCCAGTCATTGCGCTTACGCTAGTTAGCGTTGGCTCGCGAAACTACCTCTAACTTCCTTCATACTAGATGCAGAGACATAAAAATGGTATCCATGAGTTCATCTGACTCTGGGGAAGTAGATAAATTCATTGCCAAAATTCTGAAGTATCCCTTTAATGAAATCACCAGTCACCTTTTTTGTTGAAACATTTTCAGTTACCATTTGGGTTCTTTTTTTGTTGATGTTTTAATTTTATGTTTACATGTAATACAATTAATTGTAATATATTATTGCTTCATCCTTTGATTTTTTTGTTTATTTATTTTCCTATGGTTTATCCATTTGCTTTTTTCTTTGTTTCAGATTATTGTGAAATGTGTATGTTTCCTTGTATTTTCCCTTCCATTGTCAATCATACTTGCTTTACTAAATGTTTGGTCTGAAATGATCACCAATTGATACTGTAGTGTATGACTATACTTGTATTGTTTCATTGTCTGTTTGAACAGTATTGTATTGTAGTTGACCTAAGGATAAGCAGTACCATGTCAAGGCCACAGCATGTACAAGACCAGTCAAAAGTTTGGACACATCTACTCATTCAAGGGTTTTTCTTTATTTTTACTATTTTCTACATTGTAGAATAATAGTGAAGACATCAAAACTATGAAATAACACATATATTTTATATTTGAGATTCTTCAAAGTAGCCACCCTTTGCCTTGATGACAGCTTTGCACATTCTTGGCATTCTCTCAACCAGCATCATGAGGTAGTCACCTGGAATGCATTTCAATTAACAGGTGTTCCTTGTTAAAAGTTAATTTGTGGAATTTCTTTCCTTCTTAATGCGTTTGCACCAATCAGTTGTGTTGTTACAAGGTAGGGGTGGTATACAGAAGATAGCCCTATTTGGTAAAAGACCAAGTCCATATTATGGCAAGAACAGCTCAAATAAGCAAAGAGAAATGACAGTCCATCATTACTTTAAGACATGAATGTCAGTCAATCCGGAAAATTTCAAGAACTTTGAAAGTTTCTTCAAGTGCAGTCACAAAAACCATCAAGCGCTATGATGAAACTAGCTCTCATGAGGACCGCCACAGGAAAGGAAGACCCAGAGTTACCTCTGCTGCAGAGGATAAGTTCGATAGAGTTACCAGCCTCAGAAATTGCAGCTCAAATAAATGCTTCACAGAGTTCAAGTAACAGACACATCTCAACATCAACTGCTCAGAGGAGACTGCGTGAATCAGGCCTTCATGGTCGAATTGCTGCAAAGAAACACTACTAAAGGACACCAATAATAAGAAGAAACTTGCCTGGGCCAAGAAACACTAGCAATGGACATTAGACTGGTGGAAATCTGTCCTTTGGTCTGATGAGTCCAAATTTGAGATTTTTGGTTCCAACTGCCGTGTCTTTGTGAGACGCAGAGTAGGTGAACGGATGATCTCTGCATGTGTGGTTCCCACCGTGAAGCATGGAGGAGGAGATGTGATGGTGTGGGGGTGCTTTGCTGGTGACACTGTCAGTGATTTATTTAGAATTCAAGGCACACTTAACCAGCATTGCTACCACAGCATTCTGCAGCGATACGCCATCCCAACCGGTTTGCGCTTAGTGAGACTATCATTTTTTTTTCAACAAGACAATGACCCAACACACCTCCAGGCTGTGTAAGGGCTATTTGACCAAAAAGGAGAGTGATGGAGTGCTGCATCAGATGACCTGGCCTCCACAATCACCCAACCTCAACCCAATTGAGATGGTTTGGGATGAGTTGGATCGCAGAGTGAAGGAAAAGCAGCCAACAAGTGCTCAGCATATCTGGGAACTCCTTCAAGACTGTTGGAAAAGCATTCCTCATGAACCTGGTTGAGAGAATGCCAAGAGTGTGCAAAGTTGTCATCAAGTCAAAGGGTGGCTACTTTGAAGAATCTAAAATCTAAAATATATTTTGATTTGCTTAACACTTTTTTGGTTACTACATGATTCCATATGTGTTATTTACATTACATTTACATTTTAGTCATTTAGCAGACGCTCTTATCCAGAGCAACTTACAGTTTAGTGAATACACATTTTTTTTTTATACTGGCCCCCCGTGGGAATCAACCCCACAACCCTGGCATTGCAAACGCCATGCTCTACCAACTGAGCTACATCCCCTGCCGGCCATTCCCTCCCCTACCCTAGACAACGCTGGGCCAATTGTGCGCCGCCCCATGGGTCTCCCGGTCGCGGCCGGCTACGACAGAGCCTGGATTCGAACCAGGATCTCTAGTGGCACAGCTAGCACTGCGATGCAGTGCCTTAGACCACTGCGCCACTCGGGAGACTATTTCATAGTTTTGATATCTTCGCTATTATTCTACAATGTAGAAAATAGTAAAAATAAAGAAAAACTCTTGAATGAGTAGGTTTGCCCAAACTTTTGACTGGTACTGTACATTACATAATAGTATTCAGTATTCAGACATCACATAAATAAGATTCAAATTTGATGGATTTTCATGTGTCTTTCAAGTGATTCAGCAACCCAAAATGATTTCTAATATATAAACATATAAAGACGACATACTTCGGGGCTCAATTTTAGGACATTAGTTGACGGTAGGTTTACCGTCAGGTAATATTGATGATGTTAGAGAAGAATAGACTGTCTGTAGTCTATATAGTCTTAGTGTACCTGTCTGTTTCTTCCTGCTGCAGCCCCCAGTAGCCAGGAAAGACCCCAGTGCTGTTAGCACTGCCCAGATGCTGAGGGAGGCCGACACTAAGATGGAGACACACACCAATGGGTCGGGGGTCACCAGCATCAACATCATGGACATGTCCCAGCAGGTACACTACATCAGTCTATGGACTCACTTCTGTCCCTCTGGGTTTGATGATTTAGCCTTGTACAGTAGTCAAATCTGTTTGTGCTCCAGCCAAGTCCTCTGCCAACAAACACAACTGAGGAGTTGTCTAAAGCACAAAACGATCCACTACCAGATCAGTGCTATCAGTGTAGTGGGGTAATATTTATCATATATGCATATTACAGTGCCTTTCAAAAGTATTCATCCCCCTTGGCGTTTTCCCTATTTTGTTGCATTACAACCTGTAATTGAAATTGATTTTTATTTGGATTTCATGTAATGGACATACACAAAATAGTCCAAAATCGGTGAAGTGAAATGAAAAAAATAACTTGTTTCAAAAAATTATACTAAATAAATAACTGAAAAGTGGTGCGTGCATATGTACATTTACAGCTTTTAGCAGACGCTATTATCCAGAGCGACTTACAGTTAGTGAGTGCATACATTTTTCATACTGTATTCACCCCCTTTGCCATGAAGCCCCTAAATAAGATCTGGTGCAACCAATTACCTTCAGAAGTCACATAATTAGTTAAATAAAGTCCACCTGTATGCAATCTAAGTGTCACATGATCTCAGTATATATATATACACCTGTTCTGAATGGCCCCAGAGTCTGCAACACCACTAAGCAAGGGGCACCACCAAGCAAGCAGCACCATGAAGACCAAGGAGCTCTCCAAACAGGTCAGGGACAAAGTTGTGGAGAAGTACAGATCAGGTTTGGATGATAAAAAAATACCAGAAACTTTGAACATCCCACGGAGCACCATTAAATCCATTATTAAAAAAATTGAAAGAATATGGCACCACAACAAACTTGCCAAGAGAGGGCCACCCACCAAAACTCACGGACCAGGCAAGGAGGGCATTAATCAGAGAGGCAACAAAGAGACCAAAGATAACCCTAAAGGAGCTGCAAAGCTCCACAGCGGCGATTGGAGTATCTCATTGCTTAAAGAAAAAAATAAGCAAACACGTTTGGTGTTCCCCAAAAGGCATGTGGGAGACTCCCCAAATATATGGAAGAAGGTACTCTGGTCAGACGATACTAAAATTGAGCTTTTTGGCCATCAAGGAAAAAGCTATGTCTGGCGCAAACCCAAAACCTCTCATCACCCCGAGAACAGGGCAGCATCATGCTGTGGGGATGTTTTTCATTGGCAGGGACTGGGAAACTGGTCAGAATTGAAGGAATGATGGATGGCGCTAAATACAGGGAAATTCTTGAGGGAAACCTGTTTCAGTCTTCCAGAGATTTGAGACTGGGACGGAGGTTCACCTTCCAGCAGGACAATGACCCTAAGCATACTGCTAAAGCAACACTTGAGTGGTTTAAGGGGAAACATTTAAATATCTTGGAATGGCCTAGTCAAAGCCCAGACCTCAATCCAATTGAGAATTTGTGGTATGACTTAAAGATTGCTGTACACCAGCGGAACTGTCAGAGTGGTGTGTGTGTGGAATCAAACGCAGGAACCAGGATGACGTTAAACACTTTAGTAAATCCAAGAAAGGACAAAATAGCCTCCCCAACCGGGTGGCGCACAATTACGCACTGAAACACTGTGCGGAAAACAAGAAAGAAGCGCACGCAGAGCAAACTCTCGAAAAATACAACCACGAGAGACTGATACAGCTGACACAGGCTGACACAAAACAATAACGCATAACACCTGACCCAAACACAAGCAACTAAATAGGGAAAACAATTAAGACCCAAATAAGGGACAGGTGTTAAGAACAGACAAAACCAAACGAACATGAAACATAGAACGGTGACAGCTAGTACTCCGGAGACGACGACCGCCGAAGCCTGCCCGAACAAGGAAGAGGAGCAGCCTCGGCCGAAACCGTGACAGTACCCCCCCCTTGACGCGCGGCTCCAGCCGTGCGCCGACCCGGAGCTCGGGGACGACCCGGACGACGCGGAGCAGGGCGCGCAGGATGACCCCGATGGAAATCGGTCAGTAGGGACTGGTCTAATACGTCCCTCCTTGGCACCCAGCACCGCTCCTCCGGGCCGTACCCCTCCCACTCCACGAGATATTGAAGACCCCCCATCCGGCGTCTAGAGTCCAGGATGGACCTCACGGTGTACGCCGGAGCCCCCTCGATGTCCAACGGGGGCGGAGGAGTCTCCTCAATCTCAAAGTCCTGGAGTGGACCAGCTACCACCGGCCTGAGGAGAGACACATGGAACGAGGGGTTAATATTTTTGTAATCAACAGGTAGTTCTAACCTATAACTCACCTCGTTCAATCTCCTCAGGACTTTAAATGGCCCCACAAACCGCCGACCCAGCTTCCGGCAGGGCAGGCGGAGGGGCAGGTTTCTGGTTGAGAGCCAGACTCGATCTCCAGGTGCGTACACTGGCCCCTCACTGCGGTGTAGGTCGGCGCTCGTCTTCTGTCGACGTATGGCACGCTGCAGATGGACGTGTGCAGCGTCCCACGTCTCCTCCGAGCGCCGCACCCACTCATCCACAGCGGGGGCCTCGATCTGGCTCTCATGCCATGGTGCCAGAACCGGCTGGTACCCTAACACACACTGAAAAGGGGTTAGTTGGGTGGAGGAGTGGCGAAGAGAGTTCTGTGCCATCTCGGCCCAGGGCACATATCTCGCCCACTCCTCCGGCCGGCCCTGACAGTATGACCTCAGAAACCTACCCACATCCTGGTTGACACGTTCAACCTGCCCATTACTCTCCGGGTGGTACCCCGAGGTAAGGCTTACCGAAACCCCCAACCGTTCCATAAATGCTCTCCACACTCTAGAGGTGAACTGGGGGCCTCGGTCAGACACTATATCCTCGGGTACCCCGTAATGCCGGAAGACATGGGTGAACAGAGCCTCAGCGGTCTGTAGGGCAGTGGGTAGACCCGGCATGGGAAGGAGACGACAGGCCTTAGAGAACCGATCCACAACGACCAGGATGGTAGTATTCCCCTGTGAGGGGGGAAGGTCGGTAACAAAATCCACCGAGAGGTGGGACCAGGGTCGTTGTGGAATAGGCAGGGGTTGTAACTTACCCCTGGGCAAATGTCTGGGCGCCTTACACTGGGCACACACCGAACAGGAGGAGACATAAATCCTCACATCCCTAGCTAACGTTGGCCACCAGTACTTCGTGCTAAGGCAGTGCACTGTCCGGCCGATACCCGGATGGCCAGAGGAGGGGGACGTATGAGCCCAACAAATGAGGCGATCGCGTACCTCGAGCGGAACGTACGTCCGACCCACAGGACACTGTGGAGGACTCGGGTCGGTGCGTAACGCCCGCTCGATCTCACCATCAACCTCCCACACCACCGGAGCAACCAGACAAGACTCCGGTAGTATGGGCGTGGACTCAACTGACCTCTCCTCTGCGTCATACCGCCGAGACAGCGCATCTGCCTTCCCGTTCTGGGACCCAGGGATGTATGTGATCTTAAACACAAACCGGGCTAGGAACATAGTCCAGCGAGCCTGGCGAGGATTCAGTCTCCTAGCTGCCCGGATGTACTCCAGGTTACGATGGTCAGTTAGAATGAGGAAAGGGTGTTGAGCCCCCTCGAGCCAATGCCGCCACACCTTTAGGGCCTGTACCACGGCTAACAGCTCCCTGTCTCCTACGTCGTAATTCCGTTCCGCCGGACTGAGCTTCTTAGAGTAGAACGCACAGGGACGGAGTTTAGGTGGAGTGCCAGAACGCTGGGAAAGAACGGCCCCTATCCCGGCCTCTGACGCGTCCACCTCTACTTGGAACGGTAAAGAGGGATCCGGATGCGCCAACACCGGCGCCGAGGTAAACAGGTCCTTCAGTCTCCCAAATGCCCTGTCCGCCTCAGCTGACCACCGCAAGCGCACCGGACCCCCCTTTAACAGAGACGTTATGGGAGCTGCCACCTGTCCAAAACCCCGGATAAACCTCCGGTAATAATTCGCAAAACCCAAGAACCGTTGCACCTCCTTCACAGTAGTTGGGGTCTGCCAATTACGCACAGCTGTCACCCGGTCTACCTCCATCTTCACCCCTGACGCAGATAACTGGTAACCCAGAAAGGAGACCGACCTCTGGAAAAACATACATTTCTCTGCCTTGACATATAGGTCATGCTCCAACAGCCTCCTCAATACTCGGCGCACCAGGGCTACATGCTCAGCACGGGTAGGACTATACACCAGAATGTCGTCGATGTACACAACTACTCCCTGTCCCTGCATGTCCCGGAAAATCTCATCGACGAAGGATTGGAAGACTGAGGGAGCATTCATCAACCCATATGGCATGACTAGATACTCGTAGTGTCCGGAAGTCGTGCTAAACGCTGTCTTCCATTCATCGCCCTTTCGAATGCGCACCAAGTTATATGCGCTCCTAAGATCCAATTTTGTAAAGAACTGCGCACCGTGTAGTGACTCCGTCATAGTCGCAATCAGAGGAAGTGGATAGCTGTACTTCACTGTGATCTGATTGAGACCGCGGTAATCAATACACGGGCGCAGACCTCCATCCTTTTTCTTCACAAAAAAGAAACTAGAGGAAGCGGGTGAAGTAGAGGCCCGTATGTATCCCTGTCTAAGAGACTCAAATGTACGTCTCCATAGCCTTTCTCTCCTCTTGAGACAAGGGATACACATGGCTCCGCGGGAGAGCTGCTCCTGACTGGAGATCTATCGCACAATCCCCCTGTCTATGAGGCGGCAGCTGCGCTGCCCTAGTCTTACTGAACACCAGTGCCAAGTCCTCATACTCGGGGGGAATCTGCAGTGCTGGCATTAGATTCGGACTCTCCACCGAGGTCGCCCCTATGGAAACACCCAGACACCGCCCCTCACATTGAGCAGACCACCCTTTAAGAGCTTTCTCTCGCCACCTAATAATAGGGTCATGAGTCATCAACCAGGGAAGACCCAGCACTACCGGATACGCAGGAGAGTCAATCAGATAGAGCTGGATTATCTCCTCATGCCCCTCCTGCGCCATCATCTGAAGGGGCGCTGTGACTTCCCTAATCAACCCAGACCCTAACGGACGGCTATCTAGGGCATGAACGGGAAAAGGCTTATCAACTGGAAGGAGGGGAATCCCTAACTCTATACAGAACTGGCGATCTATAAAATTCCCAGCTGCGCCTGAATCTACCAGCGCCTTATGCTGGGAACGAGGTGCAACCTGTGGGAAACAAACAGGCAAGGTTAGGTGCACGACAGAAAGCTCTGGGTAAGCAGGGCGCCTACTCACCTGGGAGGTCCCCCCAATGCGTGACCTGCCTTCTCCCTCACCAGAGGACCCACCCCAGCACCTAGCCGCGGTGTGCCCTCCACGGCCACAATTAGTGCAAGGACCGGGTCCCCTCGGGCTCCTCCTCCTGCGTTCCCTAGCGCCAGCACCACCGAGCTCCATAGGGCTTGGCTCGGAGGTGCTGGAGAGTGGAATGGGCGAACCCCCCCCCTCCGGGGCGCCCACGGGTGGCGAGCAGGGTATCCAGCCGGATGGCCATGTCGACAAGCTGGTCGAAAGTCAACGATGTGTCCCTGCACGCCAACTCTCGCTGGACGTCCTCCCGGAGGCTGCAGCGAAAGTGGTCGATATGGGCCCGCTCATTCCACCCTGCATCGGCCGCTAGGGTCCGAAACTCCAAGGCAAAGTCCTGGGCGCTCCTCATCCCCTGTCGGAGGTAGAATAGACGCTCCCCCCGCCGCCTTCCCCTCTGGTGGATGGTCGAACACAGCACGGAAGCGGCGGGAGAACTCCGCATAGTTCGTAGTAGCGGCGTCCATTCTCCTCCACTCGGCGTTGGCCCACTCCAACGCCTTGCCGGTGAGACAGGAGATGAGGGCTGAGACGCTCTCGTGTCCCGAGGGCGCCGGGTGTACGGTGGCGAGGTAGAGCTCCACCTGTAGCAGGAACCCTTGACACCCGGCAGTGGAGCCGTCGTATGCCCTCGGGAGCGAGAGCCGAATCCCACTAGGTTCCGGAGACGAGGAAGGAGGGCTGGCCGATGGAGCTGGTTCGGCTCGGGGTGGCGTGGGCACCCCGCTGGTCTCCCATCGGTGTAGGGTATTCATAACACCTTCCAGCGCATGGCAGACCTGGTTGATGCGGTCCTCCTGACCCCGCAGACGTTCATCCATCGCAGCTGTTGGTGAGGTCGTTCCTGCTGATTCCATGGGATGCGTTATTCTGTCAGAGTGGTGTGTGTGTGGAATCAAACGCAGGAACCAGGATGACGTTAAACACTTTAGTAAATCCAAGAAAGGACAAAATAGCCTCCCCAACCGGGTGGCGCACAATTACGCACTGAAACACTGTGCGGAAAACAAGAAAGAAGCGCACGCAGAGCAAACTCTCGAAAAATACAACCACGAGAGACTGATACAGCTGACACAGGCTGACACAAAACAATAACGCATAACACCTGACCCAAACACAAGCAACTAAATAGGGAAAACAATTAAGACCCAAATAAGGGACAGGTGTTAAGAACAGACAAAACCAAACGAACATGAAACATAGAACGGTGACAGCTAGTACTCCGGAGACGACGACCGCCGAAGCCTGCCCGAACAAGGAAGAGGAGCAGCCTCGGCCGAAACCGTGACAGGAACCCATCCAACTTGAAGGAGCTGGAGCAGTTTTGCCTTGAAGAATGGCCAAAAATCCCAGTGGCTAGATGTGCCAAGCTTATAGAGACATACCCCAAGAGACTTGCAGCTGTAATTGCTGCAAAAATTGGCTCTACAAAGGATTGACTTTGGGGGGGTGAATAGTTATGCACACGCACATTTTCTGTTTTTTTGTCTTATTTCTTGTTTGTTTCAACAACAACAAAATATTTAGCATCTTCAAAGTGGTAGACATGTTGTGTAAATCAAATGATACAAACCCCCCAAAAATCCATTTTAATTCCAGGTTGTAAGGCAACAAAATAGGAAAAATGCCAAGGGGAGTGAATACTTTCGCAAGCCACTGTATATATAACTCACAAGCGACACATTATAAGACTATGCAATTAGCCTATTTAAAATGTTTATCTGACTCCATATAGATATGTTTGCAATATGCAAGAGACTACAGTTGAGTTACAATAATAGGCAATCAAGAAAGGTCTGAGAGTGGAATTCTTAAATACAAGTGTATTTAATTAACATTGTAAAATGACTGAAATCACATACAAGGCATACACTTAAGTTACAAAGCATTAACAAGCATTACAAGGCATTATTCTCAGCATGATCAGAAGGAGAGAGGGAGAGAAGTTGTAGCCTGAAATGCCATGCCCCAAGAGTCTATGAGGTGGAGAGAGAAAGAAAGAAAGAAAGAGAGAGTGTATCTCACCAGCGCAGGTCAGGAACAAAAGAGAAGGAGACAATGAATCGGAGACCCCTTTATAACATCTGAGTTTGGATTAAAAATTTGAGTTGTTGACCAATAGCGTTACTGTAAAAGTGAACTTCCAATCAGATATCAGACCTAAAGGATGTTATAATAATAATAATATAATATGCCATTTAGCAGACGCTTTTATCCAAAGCGACTTACAGTCATGCGTGCATACATTTTTGTGTATGGGTGGTCCCGGGGATCGAACCCACTACCTTGGCGTTACAAGCGCCGTGCTCTACCAGCTGAGCTACAGAGGACCACATCACAACAGAACCTCTGCTACCCAGAGGTGTGACGAGGGGGTTGGTGAGATAATGCAGCATTCCGAAGACAACACAAAGGAAATTCTTGCATACAGTTGATATGAGTCACTTTGGTACCAGTGCAGATTAGTGTTACCTTTGCTAGTGCATACTGATGATCAAATGACAAATGTAGCAGAGTGGCGCTATAGTTTGACCAAAAGGTATCTGAAATTATGTTAAGCAGGAAATGGAAACATTTGGTGAATAAGACAATAGTAAGACCATTTATAGGTTCATTTTTACCCAATCAATTTAGTTTGATATTTTTGTAAACAGAGGGAAATGTAATTAGTCATTTAAAGAGGAAGCATATAATCCTAATATAAATGAGACCTTTTCTGTTCATAGCTCTGCTGTACTGCAGCTCTTGATTAGACTGCCATACTCTCACGACCACAATGCAGCAGTTCATTCTCAATATCAAATCATTTCTGGGTAACAATTAAGTACCTTACTGTGATTGTTTTAAAATAAAATGGTCCAAAATAAACTAAAATAGCTCCTTAGCAAAGGGCAATTTCTCAAGCAAGAGTTTTGCTAGGACTGTCTGGGAGTGGTCTGAGTGGGGAGGGGAAAACTGAAAATTAGCTGTTATCTGCAGAAAGGGTTGGAATTCTCTTCTTATTGGTCTATTAACTAATGTACTCCATGGAAGGCAACAACTCCATCCCACCAAAACAGGCTGAAATTTCAGGTGGTCTTTTCAAACAGCTCTTAAACTAAAAGGGCATTATCATCATTTTCACAATTTCACAGTATTATTCCAACCTCATAGTGTGGAAATATATATAAAACACAGGAAATCATGTTTTTGAATGCATTGGGACTTTAATAACGTTGTTATAGAGGGATGAAAGTATTGACAGGACATTAAAGAGAATTATGAAAGCATGCGGGAGTTCCATTAATCTCTAAAGGCAGAGCATGGAGCTGTGCCGGTCCCACAGGTGCCTGATTAAAATTTAATTAGTGCCTCTGGTGTGTCATTCATCTAATGATGAAGATGAGCTGTGGCAGTGATCTGGAGAGGGTGTCTTTGAAGTGGAAACTCAAGTCAGTGGTAGATGTGTTGAGCATAGAAATTGAATGACTAGAATACACGGAGTGTACAAAACATTAGGAACACAATTTTTTTTTTTTTACATTTTAGCAGACGCTCTTATCCAGAGCGACTTACAGTTAGTGAGAGCATACATTTTTCATACTGGCCCCCCGTGGGAAACGAACCCACAACCCTGGCGTTGCAAACACCATGCTCTACCAACTGAGCTACACGGGGCCCTCATTCCATGACATAGACTGACCAGGTGATTGATATGATCCCTTATTGATGTCACTTGTTAAATCCACTTCAATCACTGTAGATGAAGGGGTGGAGAGAGGTTAAAGAAGGATGTTTAAGCCTTGAGACAATTGAGACATTGATTGTATATGTGTGCCATTCAGAGGGTGAATGGGCAAGACTAAATATTTAAGTGCCTTTGAAAGGGGTATGGTAGTAGGTGCCAGGGGTACCGGTTTGTGTCAAGACCTGCAACGCTACTGCGCGCAACTCAATATTAGGAAGGTGTTCTTAATGTTTTGTACACTGCGTGTGGTAGATAGTTAATAGATAATAGATAACAAATAGCAATGACTAGGGTGTTGAGCCTCTTGGGCAGAGGTGCTCTTGATTTGGAGTAAGCAACGATATAGTAGTGTTTGTGTGTGTGTGTCTGCAGCAAATGGAGGCTGACGTCAACTGTAACGAGACAAATGTCTCCAGCAGCACTGACGTGGCTCAGCCACCTGAGGGCGACCTGGTATGTGTCAGACCCTCTCTTCACAACAGCAGAAAGGCTGGAAGACTATGCTGCGCAAGCTCTGGCTGCAGTCTGATTCTCTACCCTTCCCCCTGAACTGCACACTAATTCACTCCCCCTGGTGGATATGAAAGGAACTGGATTGGTGTAAATATGGTGCTCATGGGGGATAAGGGTATAGAGAATCGCTCGAATCTGCCATGACAGGTTTTGCATGTGCAAATAATGGGCTGCAAGTTTAGAGAGTATATTTTGCCAGATTCTGGCCAGATTGTTTAGTTTTCTGCATTAATATGTTATTGCCTCACAATAGCTCAGCTGGTAGAGCACGGCGCTTGTAACGCCAAGGTAGTGGGTTCGATCCCCGGGACCACCCATACACAAAAATGTATGCACGCATGACTGTAAGTCGCTTTGGATAAAAGCGTCTGCTAAATGGCATATTATTATATTATTATTTGCATGTGCATCCTTTTAAACGAGGCTTGTTAAAATTAGACTTCTCCCCCCTTCTAAACTGTGCAGGTTTACATGTTTACAGTATGTCATACTGCTACCACATAATTGGCTTGTGTTATCTATGGCACTTAATATTTCAATAAACTCCTATTTGTATCACAGTGCCAACAAACATGCTGTATTGATAATTACAGGAGGATCTGTTGGGTTGAACTTCACTAGTTGGGACATTACCATGTTGATACCATACTTCTGTATCAAATGGTTACGCTACGCTCCTGCTTGGCTGCCTATTGGCTTATAACTTGGTTTATAAGTTCACCCTAATACCTTGCTTCTGATTCACTACAGTCATGGTAGCTGTATGCTATATGGTGATCAGGTTTGAGGACTTCATGTTCCCATATGGACACACTGCTTTCTCCCTGAGAAGCGCAGTGTGTCCATAGTTTAATAAGCATGAACATGATGACTTCATCCCTTCATCCAAGTGATGTTTTCTTTCCTCCCTCTCCTCATTCCTCTCTTTTTCCCAGAACCAGAACCAGGGAGTTGGCAGTAGGAAGGAGATTCCTCTCCCCAGTATAGAAAATGGCTCCCCTGTAAGTACATAGTTCACCTTACCATCCTCCACCCCCCTCCTCTCACTCAATAGACTGACTATGTTACTGTACTCTGACTCCAGACATTTAGCCCTACTCTGTAGCTCTTGATTAATTGTAGCTGACGCAGTGATAAGGTTCCCATGAAACAATGCTCTTGTTTGTTGTTGAATTGAAGCAGTGTCTGTGATTCACTGTATGTTGTCATGTAGAGAGAAGTGGTTAAAGATGCAGTTGTATTTTGGCTGGGCTATAGCTAGAACCAGCAGCATAGTGTGTGTGAGTGGGTGTGTGTTTCTCTGTGTTTGTTTGTGTTTGTGTGTGTGTGTGTTTGTGTGTGTGTTTGTGTGTGTTTGTCATTGTGTGCAGGGTTTAAATTGGGACTTTGGAGGTGGCAGAGCCAAGGTTAGGATTATGGCTAGGGACATGAAGCTAAGGTTAAGGGTTAGGAAAGTGGCTAGGGTTATGCTAACTGCTGTAAGTATAATGTATTATCGTTCTAGGGTGAGGGTTAGTACTTTTATTCTACTTTCTATCCTACTCCTATATGTAGCCTTAGAAATAAGGTTTATGAAATCAATAATTTCACTGATACTTGCCTTATCCACCTTTTTGACCACATCAAACAGTAAATTGAGAAGGGGAACTATACAGCTATGGTCATGTTAGACTTGCAGAAAGCCTTTGACACTGTGGACCATGATATTCTCCGGATGAAACTGAAATGCATGGGTCTAAATGATGTAGCAGTGAATTGGTTTAGGTCTTATCTGATACAGTTTACATAGAGGAGACCCTGAGTACGGAATTGCATTTTGTTAGAGATTGGTTGATTGACAACAAATTGTTGCTAAATTTTGGAAAAACTGAATCGATTTTGTTTGGAACAAAACGTAGATGGCTTAGGGCTGACAAGATAAAGGTAAACTGTGCAGACAAGTGTAACTTACCTTGGTGTGTCCCTAGATCTATCCCTTTCTGGAGACCTGATTGCTGCTAAAATTATTTCTAAAATGGCGAACAAATTGAAATGTATATATCGTAACACTAGATATTTTAACATCAAAGTTAAGAAACTGCTTGTCTCAACCTTGATTCAGTGTCATTTTGATTATGCCAGCTCTGCTTGGTATAGTGGGCTAACAAGAAAGCTGAAAAAGAGAATGCAGGTCATGCAAAGTAATGTTATCAGGTATATGCTGAATGTCCCCCCTAGTTCCGGGAGGTGGGCTTGTTGCCTTTGGAGTCCAGAGTGGACCAACTTAAACTTAATCATATGTTTGACATCTTAAATGATCGTGCCCCAGGTTATATGAAAAACCACACTGATATGGTCTATAACCAACACAGTTACAATACCAGAGCTAGTGTTATGTATTGTAAAATCCCAAGAGTAAACAGTGCTGCGAGGAGCACGTTTTCCTATGCAGGCATTTGTCTATGGAATAGCCTCCCTTTGGAGATCAAGCAAAGAAAAAGTAGAAATAGCTTTAAAAAGCAGGCAAAGGTTTTCATTTGGACAAGGTTGCACCAGGTGCTAACAGTCAGTATCTAAATAATATGTGTGAAATGCTTGACAGTGTATGTGTTGTAAACAGAGAGGTCTACTTTCTTGGGGACCTGAATATTGACTGGTTTTCATCAAGCTGTCCGCTCAAGAAGAAGCTTCTCACTGTAACCAGTGCCTGTAATCTGGTTCAGGTTATTAATCAATCTACCAGGGTGTTAACAAACACTTCAGAAATAAGATCACCCACATGTATAGAAATTTGTTCTAAAGCTCTATCCCATTGTATGAAGTGATTACAATATAGTGGCTATATCCAGGAAAGCCAAAGTTCCAAAAGCTCGGCCTAAAATAGTGTGTAGAGATCATACAAAATATTTTGCTGTGACTCTTATGTGGATGATGTTAAAAATATTTGTTGGTCTGATGTGATTAATAAGGAGCATCCAGACGCTGCACTTGATGAATTTATAAAATTGCTTCTGTTAAGAAACTGACTGTTAGAACTGTTAAGGCTCCATTGATTGATGAGAAATTGAACAACTGTATGGTTGAAAGAGATGGGGCAAAATGAGTGGCTAATAAGTCTGGCTGCACATCTGACTGGCTGACTTACTGCAAATTGAGAAATTATGTGACAAAAAAAATACAAATAAAATAAAACTGTATTATGAAGCCAAGATCAATGATATAAAGAATGATGGAAAAAAAACTTTGGAGTACTTTAAATGAAATTATTGGCAGAAAGACAATTTCAACTCAGTCTTTCATCGACTCAGATGGCTTATTCATCACAAAACCATTTGATGTTTCCAATAATTGTAATGATTACTTCATTGGCAGAGTGGGCAAACGTAGGCAGGAAATGCCATCGTACTCATGCATAAAAAAACAAATAATGAAAGAAAAACATTTTGTAAAGTTAGTGTGGGAGAGGTGGGAAAATTATTGTTATCGATCAATAATGACAAACCTCCTGGCATTGACAACTTACATGGAATGCTACTGAGGATGGTAGCTGACTCTATAGCCACTCCTATCTGTCATATCTTTAATCTGAGCCAAAAGGAAAGTCTTTGTCCTCAGGCCTGGAGGGAAGCCAAAGTCATTCCGCTTCCCAAGAGTGGTAAAGCGGCCTTTATTGGTTCTAAAAGCAGACCTATCAGCTTGATGCCTGCTCTTAGCAAACTGTTGGAAAACATGGTGTTTGACTAAATACAATGCTATTTCTCTATAAACAAATTAACAACAGACTTTCAGCATGCTTATAGAGAAGGGCACTCAACGTGTACTGCACTGACACAAATGACTGATGATTGGTTGAAAGAAATTGATAATAAGAAGATTGTGGGAGCTGTACTGTTAGATTTCAGTGCAGCCTTCGATATTATTGACCATAACCTGTTGTTGAGAAAACGTATGTGTTATGGCTTTTCAACCTCTGCCATATCGTGGATTCAGAGCTATCTATCTAATATAACTCAGAGGGTTGTCTTTAATGGAAGCTTGTCTAATGTCAAACATGTAAAGTGTGGTGTACTGCAGGGCAGCTCTCTAGGCCCTCTACTGTTTTCTATTTTTACCAATGACCTGCCACTGGCATTAAACAAAGCATGTTTGTCCATGTATGCTGATGATTCAACCATATACGCATCAGAAACCACAGCTAATGAAGTCACTGAAACCCTTAACAAATAGCTGCAGTCAGTTTTAGAATGGGTGGCCTGTAATAAACTGGTCCTGAACATCTCTAAAACTAAGAGCATTGTATTTGGTACAAATAATTCCCTAAATTATAGACCTCAGCTGAATCTGGTAATAAATGGTGTGGCTGTTGAACAAGTTGAGGAGACTACATTACTTGGTGTCACCTTAGATTGTAAACTGTCATGGTCAAAACACATAGATTCAATGATTTTAAAGAGGGGGAGAGGTCTGTCCATAATAAAGAGATGCTCTGCTTTTTTGACACCACACTCCACACTCTCTCTTGGCTAAGAGTTGAGGAAAGACTGAGTGCGTCACTTCTTGTTTTTATAAGAAACAATGTGTTGGAAATTCCAAATAGTTTGCATAGTCAACTTACACACAGCACTGACACACACACTTACCCCACCAGACACGCCACCAGGGGTCTTTTCACAGTCCCCATGTCCAGAACAAATTCAAAGAAACGTACAGTATTATACAGAGCCATGAGTGCATGGAACTCCCTTCCATCTTATATAGCGCAAGTGAACGGCAAACCTGGTTTCAAAAAACAAATAAAGCAACACCTCACAGCACAACGCCCATGTGACCTACAGTACTTGTTGTGTGTATGTACTAACTGATAGATGCACACACATACACATTACATGTTAATGTTTTTAAATGTGTGTAAATTGTAAAGTTTTTTGTCGTTTTCGTTATGTGTCGGACCCGAGTAAGACTAGATGTTGCCATTGGCGTCGGCTAATGGGGATCCTAATAAATTAAATAGAAAATCCTTGTTGGACCCATAAGGTGCTGGAGCTCAGCTCCATCTGGCTCTCTTTGACCCTTGCTCTAGGTAGCTCCGGCTCAATCTAACCACTGGTTGTGTGTGTGTATGCCTGTGTGTGTGTGTTCGTGTGTGTGTGTTTGTAGCTGCTGTGCTGATAATGTAAGTGACCCTTCATTCTCCTAATGACCGTGCTGCAGGTGAAGGCAGGCACCCTGGGGAGAGAGGCTGTAGTGTCCCCACTGACTGTCACCGCCGACAATGTCACCTCAGCAACCACAACTCAAGTTACCAAGGTAACCCCTCGTGCCTCTTCTGCGCCCTTTAAAAAGAGAGACTACTTGATGCTGCTTGGGTGTTGGGTCTTGACACTTCCTCTTCACTTAATATACAGGACGTAATATACATTATAGAGCTATGAAAGGTCACAATCATTATCTGATCTGTAGATTGATGTTGAATGTGTGTGTTGTGTTTCAGACAGTGAAAGGTGGCTACTCCGAGACCAGGATTGAGAAAAGGATCATCATCACAGGAGATGATGACGTGGACCAACATCAGGTGAGGAACAACAGTCACAGCCGTTACTAAGTTATAAGTACTGTAATAGTACATTTTATTTGTATGGCGTCTGTCATGACACTCAAAGACACTAATATTGTAGATTGATTGCAAATGAATAGTGGCCATTAATGTGAACTGTGACCTTTATCACACAGGCCCTTGCCATGGCGATACAGGAGGCCAAGCAGCAACACCCCGACATGCTGGTGACAAAAGCAGTGGTTGTCAGGGAAACAGAGTCGCCCACTGAGGAGCAACATAGGAAATCTGAGGTATGTGGAGCTGCAATGTAAACCACTGTCAAGACACCATAGTATTGTCTCAATAACTAGAGAGATAGTGATAGACAGTGTGATTGTGTGTGTGCGTGCGTATGCATTTATTTGTGTATGTATGCTATATAGGCTATAGGTGGCTTTAGATATGCCATAGCTCACACGTACAGTATGTTGGACATGTAAGTCAATTATATTGTTTAAAATGCAATTTGTAATTTATTGTAATGATTCTTGCCCTGCAAGCAACTCTGCAGAGTGGTCACTAGCTGGCACAGCCACAAACACATAAAATCAGATTTTAAACCTAACCATAACCTTAACCACACTGCTAACCGTAATGCTGTACCCTAACCTTAAACTAAGACCAAAAAGCTAGTTTTCATGAATATTTACGATATAGACAATTTTGACTTTGCAGCTGGCCCATCTAGCGGAAATTGCTCAGTTCTGCCTCCAGGGAAGGATTCATGACAATAAACATCAACCTGCGTTTAAAACATCTTGTTTATCCCACTGGTGTCAGTCTGTTTCACAGAGCTGTGTGGTGTTCTCTCTCTGTTTCAGTCCTGATCACTCATGGTGGTTCCTGGGAGTGGGGACAGGAGCCCGTCAACTCCCTGTCTCCCCACACCACCGCTGCAAGAGGACTACAGTAACCTACACACAGTGTATACTACAGTACAATAGACAGCGCTCCTTGAAATAATCTCTGTCTCCTCTACAACAGTATATGCCTCCTCTCCTGTCCCTTTAGCCAAAACCGACTGTGATGCCGCCTCTGACCCACCCTCGCCCCCCACCCTCGCCCACCAACCACTCTTCCTCTGGAAAATGCCCTAGAAAATGCCTAGTGTTTGTACAGTAGACCCCCAAGAGGTCTGACTCGTGGTTTGTAAAGAATAGGACTATAGATGTAGGATCTTCATTTCTCACTATTTTGTTGCTGAGAATTGTTCAGGTTTAAAAAGGCTTCTAAAGTTTGTCATTTACATTTTAATATGTTAGACTTGATTTGCCCTTACGGAAATGTATCAACCCCTACAAAGATGTCCATTAATTTTAACTCAAATAATAATTCACATTTCCTGTTGCTGTAGGATTATTTTCCTGCTGTAGCAAACTGGCTCAAATTTTGATCCTACACCTGTATTTGGTCGTGAATATGGCAAGAATAGGGCTTATGTGTTGCACTACTAGCTATGGGATCTGTGAGAGATCAGTATAATGGTTCTGATATTCTACATCCCCAGACAGACTCTATATGTACTGTACAAACATAATGGCATGTTAATGGTTCATCACCCCCAATCAGTGTAGTTCAATTAAATTATTAGCGATGATGATGTAATCCACAAAAAAATCAGATTGACCTTTCCCCAGAACACATTGACTTACCTGTAAGTACTGGTAATTTATTCTTCAGGAACTCAATAGCCCACCTCCACAAATTGCTGTCATATATGGTCACCATGGAGATGCCTGCTCTGTGCTGACATCATGCATGAAGCATGGGGACTGGGTGAGTGTAGTGTGAGGAGGGGGTTTGGGGGGAGGGGTGCTCTGCAGGGGTGATGGTCAGCCTTTAATGCTTGTTGTCACCAGTGTGACACATATATTCAACAGCTGTCTTACTAGCTTTTTAAACATTTTTAACAATAGAAAAATCTAATTTAAAGTCCAGTGTTTGCTTGTTTATGAAAATAAATAAAAATGTATCGATTAGCGTCTCATACTCACATGCATGATTCTAAATAGTCGAGGGAATGAACGATACGGACCTGTCTGTGAACTGACATCCACAGGAAGTGCTCAAGATGGCAGAACATTCAGACAAATCTATAGCTGAAAGATTCTGTGGAATAGACTTCTGCAACGTGTAGACACTGCATGTCAACCAAAGCTGATGGGACTATACTGATAGGAGAGTCAACTGAAGAAATACGTGGACAGACACTTCTACAACATCAAGAGACTATGAGTTGGGACTCCACTTGGCATTCAGAGTATACTACTACTACAGGCTCTGACTCTCGTTCTCTGGCTAATAACAAACCGAATCCCTCCACACCCCCTTCTGTGCTCCTCTCCTCATCCTGTTCTCCTTCAGTCATCCTACTGTCATACTTTCAGTCGCAAATGCTGGTCACGTAGGGCAAATGTCAAATCATACCCATTTCCCCATGTAGTGCACTACTTTGGTCAAAACTAGTACACTCTACAGGGAAAAAGGTGTCATTTGAGACAAAGCCATAGTATGGTCAAATGAGCAGTTTTAATATTTTACAGTATCTAATAATTTAATGAAATGTGAGGATATGTTTTTTTTTTTACTTACTTTAGTTGTTTTTAAGTTATGGCGTATGAGTTCAACATTTGTATTTATAAGAGTGGTTGTGAATGTCAGCTGGTGGGTTTCTTTCCTTCCCTAAACATTTTTAAGTGTGTGATTCCTTTTTCTGTACCCTCACAGACAAAGCCTGGATTCATAGTGTGACACGTTTAAGGCCAAACTTCATCATCTTCGACAGATAGACAGGAGGTGAACCTGTTCCAGAACACCTACCAAGGCCTCCATAGCCCTACCTGGCCAAATCTGTAGACTCTCTGGATAAAAACTCTAAAACTATATTCAACAGCTGCATATACATCAGTCAGTCAGTCTGAAAAATCAACAAAAAACGATGCTGGAACAAACTGTTGAATAAATACTATGCATTGTTCCCTGTGTGGACTAACTTTGAAAATATAACTGAGGAGAACCAGATTCATTTTTGGAGTGCCGCTCTGCTCTCATCATCTCCTATGTGATATTGTTAATTACAGCGGTCAATCTTAACTGCTTGTGAGACTCGCAATAACTGTCTCTCTTGTAGCCACCTCGCTATTGTAATCCATTATCAATCTACTTAAAAGAGAAAACTGTGAACTGTTATACATATAAAAAGCATTACCAAAACGTTCCAAGATGGAGTTGAATCTAAAAGTTGAGCTCTGCCACCGTGTTCCCATGGCTTTGTTACCGTGCTTGTCATAATTACTCCATTCTCACTTCACCCTGAAGTAACGGAGAAGATCCTTTGGACTTTTGTCTTAACTGCTGTAAAGTTCAGTCTCTGTGAAACAGAGTCCCTAACAGTTCTTTTGTATATTTTATTTCATTTTATCTGGTCAAATGACACTGGATTCATGTTAAGGCACTTGCTTGCAGTGATAGGCAGCACCGATATTGTTAGAAATGTGTGTTTTTTCTATACTGGACACACACCTCTCAAAATGATTACTTGCTGTATAGACATTGAGAAAGAAGTTGCCCTGTATATCTGATGTGCTGTTTTGAAGGGTGGGAGGCATATTGTATGTATGAACATAAATACTTCTATGTGTGCATATGGTTACAAATATACCGGAAGAGTGGTATGAGGTTGTGCACATTTTGTAATAGAGGATTCACAAATGTGCAATGTTCAGACTATGCGTAAGGACTAATACAGTGCACTAGTTACACTGATGATGGGTGCCTTACTGTTGGAGTCACTGCCTCTAGAAACATTTTTACATTTGAGTCATTTAGCAGACACTCTTATCCAGAGCGACTTACAGTTAGTGAGTGCATACATGTTTTTTAGTTTTTTTATACTGGCCCCCCGTGGGAAACGAAAACACAACCCTGACGTTGCAAACGCCATGCTCTACCAACTGAGCTACACGGGAAACCAATTAATTATTAATTATTTAGAATACCTGTGTGATCTACTGACATTTCAGCCATCCACTCTCCATGTGGTGTTGAGGTCATGACCTCTTCTGGAGCCCTGGATGACCCCACGGCTAAAATGTCTATAGCCTACATGCTCATTAAGGTCCCATAGAAGAACTGGGAAATACTATCATACACTTTTTCAGTGGTAGGAATAATACGAATTGGAATGAAAATCTATTGAAGAGCAGAAAGATTACAAACAATCACCAGGCCCCAATAGGACAGAACTAACTGGCTGATTCCATAGGCTCACGTGAAGTACTATCCACCCCACTCTTCCTTTCCACCCTTCAATTCACCTCAACCTGTTTGCTCTACATTCCCCCTAGTGCTTGGTGGTGTGTGTTTGCTGTATTTGCATTGTCTAAATGGAAAACATACATACATACATAAATAAATAAATGTCTCAGTGCTATTCACATTGTCTCTGCGATTTTCATGAGGAAGACAAATGCTGTAAGATCATGTTGTGGAAACCGGTAAAGGGCTTGAGACGTTAGGCAGTTACTTTTAGTTTGTTTGGTATCCTGCATTGCCATCTTGTGGCCCTCAAGAAAATTGCAATTGGGAATAAGATTACAGAAGTGCATTACTCAATCAAGCATAAGCGTCATTATCCTCAAATTGATTAAAACATAACTTAATGGTTATAGTTCTACTATTACTGCCAAGTGCCATTTGTTCTATTGTTGCTTCGCATTTTGAACATTTTGACTGTCATTTGATATCTCTAACTCTTTATATATACATTCTATGCTCTAAGGGCAGAATTCCGACCCAAGTTAATTAAGCCTGCATTTAATGGAACGTGATTCCCTTTTCATGCACTTTTCTCTTTTTATGCACTTTTCTATCTATGAGTATTCTGACCTTGAACTTAAGCATGACAATAGCATGCTATTCACCTGCTATTCCTTTGTGGTGGAGAGCAAAGAAATGGTGTGGTGGAGGTATGTCTACAGATCCTGACTTTGACTTCATTCCTTCATAATTCCACCACCTTTACGTGCCATTAAAAGATGAATAAGGTCGAGCAACCTGTTAGTTCCAAGTGGAACAACATGCACTTAATTTTTTTCTGATATAAATAACACCATCATTCTCCATGCACTGTAATTTACAAATTGATAAGAGCTATTGATACGAGCTTGGTAAATGAGTATTCTGTTTGGTTAACGAGATTGTAAATATTTTATTTTTATTTTTTTATTTAACCTTTATTTTGACAGGTAAGTCATACTGAGACTAGGGTCTC